GACGGTTAATAGTTGAGACATCAGACGACGCAACTGGTGCAGTGGTAAACCAACATGAAAACACTCAGTTTAGACCTTCAGGTTTTCTCTCGAAAAAGTTATCAAACGCTCAGAAAAAATACAGCACGTACGACAGGGAGTTGATCGCCATATATGAAGGTATCAAATATTTTCGGTATAGGTAAAGTTAGAGACTTCATCATTTTTACTGACCACAAGCCAATAATATACGCTTGGAATTAAAATCCTGAAAAGTCTACACCTAGGCAGAAGAGATACTTCGACTTTATGAGTTAATTTTCTACAGATATTCGCTATTTATCTGGCGATAAAAAAACCAAGTGGCAGACGCCCTAAGCATAGTCTTGGCCATCACATTGGGACAGACAGAGTTACCAGACTGGTCAGAGGCACAAGAATCTGACAAAAAGCTTAAAAAATTATTAATAGGAAATACATTCTTAAAATTAAAAAAAAATTATGCTTCCATATAGTGATTGCGAAATTTATTGTGACACATTCCTAAATTACATCCGTCCATATATCCCAAACAAATTAAAGAGAATGATTTTCAACAAAATTGCATTGTATATCTCATCCAGGAAGTAGAGTCACCATTAAACTGATAGGTATATATGGTCAAAGATGGAAAGACATTCGTAATTTGACAAAAACATGTGTTCCTTGCCAGAAAACAAAAATAACAAGACAAGTTCGAAGCCCATTAACATCATTTGAGGAACCAGAATCAAAATTTGAACACGTGCACATAGAATTAGTTGGCCCACTACCTCCTGATGACGGCTTCACTTAGTTACTGACCTGTATAGACAGATATACTAAGTGGCCTGAAGTGCTTCCACTCTCGGATATATCAGCAGAAAATGTGGTGAAAGCTTTTTATAATGGTTGGATATCAAGATTTGGAGTTCCACTACTACCAACCAAGGAAGACAGTTTGACTCTCATTGGATGGAAGAAGTTTCAAACATTTTAGGAATTCACCGCTCTAGGACAATCCCATATCATCCTAGTTCAAATGGGCTGATAGAAAGGTTCCATCGAACGCTAAAAAATGCAATAAAATGTATTGGAGACGAAAAATGGACAACTAATCTAGCCACTATTCTACTAGGGCTACGGAAAATTCTAAATGAAGATTTAGAAACATTGCGGAATTGGTTTATGAAACACCATTGAGAATACCAGGAGAATTAATAATTCCACAAACAAGACCTAAATCCTTAAGGGGTGGGTGGCTCAGTGGTAGAGTCTCTGCCTGTGGATCCAAGGGTCCCAGGTTCGAATCCCACCGTTGGCCGGGATTTTTTAATTTAATTTAATTATTTAAAATTAATTCTGATGCCTTGGTAGGATTCCCCACTCGACCATTCACTGTTGGGTCCTAATTAACAGTGCTGTTCCTAAAGTGGCGATGGGAAACAGCAACAAAGCCTACACAGAACACGAGGCTAAAGACCTAAATCCAGTAACGACATAAAACATCTTACCACAAGCAAGAAAAACCATTTATTTATATGGAGCGTCAAGACATTGGTCAGGTCTTTGTAAGGGTTGACAGAGTTAAAAAATCACTGGAACCACCACCTTATCAAGGTCCATTTAAGGTCATTAAAAGACATGATAAATATTTTACTTTGATGATCAATGGAAATGAAAAGAATATATATCTAGATAGAATCAAACCAGCATTCCTAGAGCATAATGAAGAGCAAATAAATAAAGCTGCACCGAAGAGACCAGAAGAAAAGGAAAAATAAGAGGGAGACACTTGTAATAAATAAGATGGACACACATTAAGATATGGCAGAAAAGTAAAATTCAGATTAAATTGAGTTTCGTTAATATTTGTTTTTTATCATTATCACTAAGGGGGGTCTAATGTAGTGTATAAGGTTGTTAGTTAGCATGTAAGATTTGATAGTGAGATGGCATTGGAAATGATAATAACAAGACACGATTTAATTGTCAGAGTTGTTAAACATTTATTCGCTTCTAAAAGGCTCATAAGTTTACTATACTGGCCATAGTCAGATTTAATTTTTTTTAAACCTCTTAAAACGATGTTAAAATTAAAGGTGTGAATGGCATAGGGGATAGTCCCCTCCCCTGACCTTGTATGGCGGCGTCCATATTAATACATATACTATATACGACCGGGTAACCACTTTTGGTATTAACAGAAAACTTCTAGGTAAAAAAAAATTAAAAGTACTCATTCGATGGTCGCTGCAGAAACACGAAAGAAGCAGAGACACTACCATTCTAATAAAAGTAAATGAGATGTAATTCAATGCAGAAGCAATGCAAGCAATAGCAGCAATTAGCTTTACATCGACGACTGCCGTCACGCCACAGACTGCCGCAATACTGGTACTGACACAGACAGGCGCTCAAGCGACTGAGATATAACAAGATATTTATTAAGCTAGTTGATGCTGCCTCCTGAGCTGTTCCTGCATTGAACGGCATCGTATTTACTTTCCTTAGAACGGTAGTGTCTCTGCCTTTTTCTTGTTCCTACCGCTTGCAGCTACAGCATGTCTGCAGCGACCATCAAACGAGTTTCTTAACCAGGCTTAAAAAGTTCAAATACAATGATTTTCTTGATTTATAAAAACATGTAATATACAATTAAGAACAATAGAAAAGTTTGTTTTTTTGGCTGAAAGTCAAGTGCTTTATGCATATAAAATGCAACCCTTTTACAATATCGATACGATCATAGCCTGATTATAAGGACATGATATGTTTGTGGTAAAGGACGCCCTCCAAATTTGAAGGTAATTGAAATTGTCAGGGCATGTTTGCAAGAAATTCAATGAAAAATAAGACTTGCTAAAAGTCCGAATGGACAATAGATTCATTTCTAGAGCCAGAAAATAAAGATTGCGACCCAGAACAAGAGTTGAAATTATTTAAAGTTACTTTCAAAAGACGATAAGTCCTGAAAATAATAAATTTTTTACTAATATTCAAAACACTTTTGTTTTACTATTTTCGCAGTTATTTTATTTATTTATATTTATTTATATGAATTGATATTAAAATACAGAATTCCATTAACATAACTATGATTTTCTTATTCCTGATTTTTTTTAAATAAAATTATTCAAATGTGATAATCTAATTTTGGAAGTTATCTGACGATATGCTGGTTAGAAAAAAGTATACGAGCCAAACAGTGTAGTTACTCCCATATTAATTGTAGGCTGTAGCGTGCTAATATGCATAACACGGCAGAAAGCATCATAATTATAGCTCATATTAACTTTCTTCTCAGTAATTATGTTTATAGATAAATCTTGTGACAACTAAATATATAAACTCCACTATGTCGTTTCGGAGGTGCTTTATTTTGTTATGGAAATGGCATGGATCTCAATCCGATATCCTACAATGTCACGGAATTTAAGTTTCTGTGACATTGGGAGGTTTTCTGATAAAGGGCGGAGAAAGAAAAAAATAAAAAAACAAGATATTTTGATGATTATTATTTTTCAACATCAACACAATTTTCACCCAGACAACACACCAAATCCCAGAGATATCCACAGAATATATTTTATGGATACCCAATATATCCACAGGATATCAGAAATACCCGGTGGATCTAATATGGATATCCAAATGTCCGTCTATATCCAGAATATAGAAGATATCCTATGGATATCCAGCAAAATATCTAATGGGTATCTTCCAGACAATACAAGAAATCCCACAGATATCCACAGAATATATTTTGTGGATATCCAATCCAATATATCCAGTGGATCTAATATTTTAAATTCTAATATCAAATTCGAGAGAGCACTGCATATTTTAATAGGCGTCTGAAAATGTAATATTTTTTGGTATTTCTTCTTTTTCTGCGAAAGGGGTAGGATGTTAGAAACAATATTTTGTGGGAATGCACTAGTGACCATAGAGTACCTAAAATTGGAAAAAAGTTGGGTCATTCCATTTAAAAAAAAAAATAAGTGATTTGCCTAATTTACTATTGGGCCACCCTGTACACAAGAAAATAATTTTGGGATATTTGGTTTTGACCACCATTGACAGGTATACTTCGAATAAATCGTTAAGATTTGCATAATAGGAGTTATAGAACTACGACAGAGGTTTGGCCAACCCTGTATAGAGAAGAACCGAATTCACACTCTATAGTAATCAAATTGGTCAACATATACAATACCGCTCAGTTGCTGGTTGGCTCTCACAGGAAAACCTATACTGTTGCAGTTAAATGATTTGGTTTGAAAAATACTGTAGGTATTCAATTTTATTTTTAAAATGCCGCTCTTAGTTTACATTAAAGAGGAAAAATGTATATTTTAAAATGGTATCTACTTTGGCGGTAATTTATTTATAAGGGGTGAATGGAAATCGTCCAATTCCACACCGTTCGACAATTAAGATAATTATTAAAAACTTTGAATAGTTTCGGATGTCTATAACACTGTCAAAAATGCCATAATGGCTAATAAATTATTTGCACAACAGTTATTTGAAGAATTATAAATTATTTGCCGCTTATAATGTCCTGAGTCGGTAAAAAACACAATCCTATTGAACAATATACTTCGCCGACGGGCGGATCGCTGTATACATACATGCAATATCCCATTATTTCCTTCGAAAGGACGTGGATAAACCAGTTGCTATCTTTATCACACTGCCAAATATAATTAAGCGACTCATCTTTATTTTTCAAGATGGTTGTGTTAATGCACTGTATATTGGCTCCAAACAAAACATAAGTTAAACAGCGCATGTTACTTATCTATTTCTTTTGTTTATCTGAGAACTCCACATATTTATTGACATTGACAGATAACGTCAGTTTGCAAACTTTGGGGTCTGAGGTGTACAGTTCAATATTAACAAAATACAGATTTTGACAATAATCTCCCCCATTATTTCAACGAATACATCATTTTTTCAAAGCAATATCTGTTATACCAATTTTGAAAACTTACCTGGTAAACTTGCCTTGGCGCGGCCCACTCCACGAGCGGCTTGGCGCGCCGCCCCACGGGCCCCTGCTGCTCCTCCCCGGCCCGCTCTGTTGGCTGCCGCCCCACGGGCTGGGGGGCCACCTGCCCGCCCACGTGCCACCACCCCACGCCCACGGCCAGCCTATACGGAAAAATGCAACAACAAAAAAATGATAAAGTATCGTGTAGCGACAACGATTTTTTTTTACAAATACATGTGTCCCAATTTCAAGACTGTCATTTATAAAAATTTTTATAAATTTGATGTTATATTAAACGGCTCTTGTAATTCAGACACAGCGACTTAATTGGTATTAAAATAATATAAAATAATATAAATTAAAATAAAAAATAAACAAAAATCATAAGGAACACAGTTTTTCAATGCCTATTAATCCTTTCTACCAATACCACCTCAATTAGGTAAGGATTGTGCTTTTGAAGATACAAATTTACCTTAAATTCTGCCAAATTATAAAAGAAAAACTTTTTTTTTGATTGTAGCCAATGTTAAATTTTAATAACCCCAGTTTAAACCCCCATGAAGAAGCAAATAAGATGAATAATGATGTTTAAAAAAAAATTAAACAGAAATTACACATTAACGTATTTTTTTCATTTAAGGTAAACTTGCGAAACATTTGAAGATTCGGTTGAAACAATTTGGAACGATTCACTGTGTTTTGCGGTTAGTACAAAAAGCCAAAAGGATGTTCGTTTTTGTTGGTTAAAAAAAAAATGCAAATAATACGTACTAAGCATGTAGTGGTCTCGAGAAAACGTTAGTGGCATAACAAGTAAAAGTATAGGCAACAGTTTATTAACAACGGGCGGACGTCAAATAACCATTTTAAAAATGAGGGCAGCTCGAAAACTACCTCATAATCAAAATTAATTTAACAATTACGGCTAAAAAATTCTCCCATACGATTTAAAATTTCATTTATTTCAGGATAAATCCGTAATTTTCAAATCTAGGAATAATCCAGTAAAACTGCAGTGTTCATTTTAAAATAATTTAGAGTCTAGTGTTAATTTAAAATTAGTTAAATTACTTACAATGAAATTTCAGTTTGTTTCGAAATTAACTTTAAAATTTCGATAAAAAAAAACAATGCCAGTTGCATTAATTAATCTCTTTTGAGGTTTCGAATCCCGCTTTAAAAGGTTAGTAAGTTCCCCTTGTGTTCGTATACTTACTTCAAGCATGGTTGCAGCAGGTTGCAAAAATGTTTATTAACATTTACGAGCCTGATAACTTTTCGACAGGTTTAAACTGTGAGCAACTAGAAGTTTATGTCTCATAAATGTTAATAAACGTTTTTAAAACCAGCTATTAATATATCGAGACGACCAAAATAATAAAACCAAAGTTAGAACTAAGTGGTTATTTTTAAATAAAGATTAATGTCGGTTTTGGTTATTAAAATCAGTGTTTTATAATGGGGGCTAACAGTTGTACGTTGACCAGATGGCGTTACTAACACGGTGAAGTCTGTCTGTCAAGCTGTTAGCGTTATAACCAAATTTATTATGTTTATATCTTAGACTAGGAAAGATAGAGGATTTGTTAACTCGTATATTAAACGGACGAAAATATCGATCGGCAGCCATTTTTTGGCGCCGTATCAGAGAAGCTGTTATGTAATTTTAGGATTTTTTTTACGAAACTTAAGTAGACAGTGATATTATTAAATAATTGCGATGGTAGTGTATTCATCTTATAACAGTAAAAGATCAAGTGAAAAAAAAAGAAGGAATCACATTTTACAGATTCGCGATAACAAATATAGAACTGATTCTGAATTAATAGCTAATAGTGAAATGATTCTGAATTAATAGTGATCTAATAGTAAACTAATAGTAAACTAATAGTAAACTAATAGTAAACTAATAGTAAACTAATAGTAAACTAATAGTAAACTAATAGTAAACTAATAGTAAACTAATAGTAAACTAATAGTAAACTAATAGTAAACTAATAGTACACTAATAGTAAACTAATAGTAAACTAATAGTAAACTAATAGTACACTAATAGTAAACTAATAGTAAACTAATAGTAAACTAATAGTAAACTAATAGTAAACTAATAGTAAACTAATAGTAAACTAATAGTAAACTAATAGTAAACTAATAGTAAACTAATAGTAAACTAATAGTAAACTAATAGTAAACTAATAGTAAACTAATAGTAAACTAATAGTAAACTAATAGTAAACTAACTAATAGTAAACTAACTAATAGTAAACTAATAGTAAACTAATAGTAAACTAATAGTAAACTAATAGTAAACTAATAGTAAACTAATAGTAAACTAATAGTAAACTAATAGTAAACTAATAGTAAACTAATAGTAAACTAATAGTAAACTAATAGTAAACTAATAGTAAACTAATAGTAAACTAATAGTAAACTAATAGTAAACTAATAGTAAACTAATAGTAAACTAATAGTAAACTAATAGTAAACTAATAGTAAACTAATAGTAAACTAATAGTAAACTAAACTAATAGTGTTAACTAATATTGTAAACTAATAGTGTAAACTAGTAAACTAATAGTGTAAACTAATAGTGTAAACTAATAGTGTAAACTAATAGTGTAAACTAATAGTGTAAACTAATAGTGTAAACTAATAGTGTAAACTAATAGTGTAAACTGATAGTGTAAACTAATAGTGTAAACTAATAGTGTAAACTAATAGTGTAAACTAATAGTGTAAACTAATAGTGTAAACTAATAGTGTAAACTAATAGTGTTAGGACCGATTCCACCGTTGTGTTAAACGTAGTTTAAAATGACATTTTTACATTAACAATGTCATTTTAATCTCCGTTTAACACAACGGAGGAATCGGCCCTAAACTAATAGTGTAAACTAATAGTGTAAACTAATAGTAAACCAATATTAAACTAATAGTAAACTGAATTATTGGTTCTAATTCTGCGCAGTAAAGTTGATTTCATCCGTTTTTAGTTCTGAATCGGTTATGTTGATACCTGGAATACAGAGATGTAATAGAGGTTGAATTAGGGCCTACGCTCAAAGTATAAATTAACACGCGGGCTGTTCTGTTTCCGTTGAGTTTAGTAAAACATTTATTTATAATTTTCAAAATATTCTCCTGTCAATGCATTTTTGGATCCGCGAAAATTATTCTTGAAAAAATGTTCTCCAATCTTCAGATTTATTTCATTTTTAAAGGCATTAATGTATCTTTTACAAGTGGAAATGAGAAGTCATTAGGTGCTAGGTCTGGACTATAAGACGAATGGCCCATTATTTCTATGTTTTGGGCATTCAAATACTTATTTGTTTGATACCAGATGATCATTTCGCGAACTTTTTGGAGAACCTGAGGCAAACAAACTGTAGTGTACCATTTTGAATTAACAGTACGCCTATACTCCAGTGTTACAGTGTAGAGACAACTAGTAATTCCAAAAAAAGTAGCGACCATCTCAAAGACCCAAACTGACGATTGTTGCTTTTTTCGAGACCATAGCAGTTTCATCTAGACGAACCACAGTCAAAGCGATCTCACATAGTCTTTTGAGCTAGTCAAGTTGTAGGGAATCCACTGAGAACAAAGCTTGTGGACTTTGAAATGTTTGTGTAAAATGGTTTTAATTGCTTTTACACCAATCTTTACAGTTGCTTGAAGGTTTCTGACAGTAATGTGCCAGTCTTCTTTTTTATCATATTCCGAATAGGATCAATATTTTTTTTGTAATGGCCGTTTTTGGATTATGAGCTCGAAAACTTTAAGTAGAGTCGACCACGTTGAAATACCACCTCTTTACAGTAGCGAAGGAACACAACATGTCACCAAGCACTCTATTGACTTCCTCAAAACATTTTTTACAATTTAAGCCACTCTTGAAATTGTAAAAAAAGTACAGCCCAATAATGTGTTTGTTCATTTCCATCACTTATTGACGAAAGGGTTATTTTAAACTTATGTAACTTAGTTTGACAGATACAAACACTACTAACGTTGCAAAACGTCAGTTGAGTGATTAAAATTGTTTTATTAAAATTGTTTTGAAGGCTAAAACTTGACCAACGATGGGTTTCAATTGAAGAAGCCTCATATTTAAATATTAGATTTGTTAAAAACAGGAATAAATCTTTATAGTAAAAACAACGTACGAATTATTAAATAATATACGAATTATTAAGACCGAGACATTGTTCATTTAATATTTCTGGTTGTTATACTACCGAGATATTTTATATCTGTGTTTAACATCTTGATGTCAAGACGTCCCCTCTATTTCCTACTCTAAGAGTTGTATCGTATAGAATTACAATATAAAGGAAAACGGTAACGATACAAAACTTTAGTGATAAAAATAAGGTGACTATGCTACGCCGCATGAGAGGGAAAATTGGCAGCAAACCAATTTTTTGTCTATCTACACCTATGTTTTATCACTATCGTGTTTAAATTAGAAAATATCATATGACTTTGTATTAGCCTTAGTGTGATATACCTCACTTGTTAGTGGGATGCTCTAGTGACAAACCAACACCTGTTAGCCCTCATTGGTTTATACAACATTAGGAGAAAGTTTCAGCCGTTTCAATAGAAAACCTTTTTCATCTATGACCCAAACTGAAATAAACTTAACATTATCACCATCGTGTATTGACAAAGATCGTAGTACTTACATAAGAATTGAGTTTATTATTGTATCTTGGTACATGTTCTGGCATTTTAATAAAATGGTTTGGTAGTGCGCTAGAATAATTAAAAAAATATTTTTCATCAAATTCCCCTTCATGTTTAACGTTTTGTCAGCAACTAAAATGAAGGAGTCCAAATTTGCATCAACCGAAAGTACAACAAAATCAGGCAGGTTGTTATAGATATGTCAATAAGTGAGTTTACAATATATTTTTAATATCACCTACAACAATTAGATCTGGAATAGGAGATATCAAAAAATATTGTGTAAAAACTTTTTTATTAACGATTTCTAAGCCACTGCACTCAGAAATAATGGACGACGAGGTATGGTAGGAGTAAACTTTGGGAGAAAGGATATTGGTGTCTGAGTATTTAACTTAAAAACTACAAAATAAACATTCTAAACATTAATTTATTTATCGTCCATAGTACTTTCCTTCATTATAAACATGAAGATGAAGAAGGATTAGGTGTTTGTTAATTATTAATTACACATTAAAGAACAGAAAACATATATGATGCATAAAACATACAAAAGTATAAGGAATAAGCCGATTTTTTTTTAAACATAAAACAATTAGAAATTAAATATGTTTTTTGCTTAAATCTCCGATGTGTTACGTTCTAATAAATTTAATCACTTTTGTTGCACCCACTTAAATATTTTTGATAAAATAATCCATTGTTTAAATATGTGCAACATTAAAAATATCATCAACTCCATAATATAGTCTTTTAATATTCTCTATGTCAGTTTCCTAAAAATCCACAATAATTTCACCAACTTTTTTTTGCATTTTTGGTACAATTAACTTTTTCTGATCCTGGATGATTTCAATCATATTTGACTAAGGCAAATTAATCTTTGAAATATTCTGTATTATTTAGAATCAACTAGTAATGACAGACATCTTATGGTGAAAACAAATTTCTTAAATATTTTAATGCCCCACGTACTCAGTTTACTGTTCTTGGGAAAAAATTACTGATAGGAGCAACGTTAATTAGATTAAAATTCCCTAAACATTTCTAAAATTTAATGTTTTGTGGTACGTTATGTTGTCAGTGGAATATTTAGAAATGAATTAATTATGAATGAAGTATGGTTTAAATTAAATTGTATGTTTTCCCTAATTTTCTTGGTATTTTAAATAACCTATTACCTATTTAGTGACAAAGTGGCGAACTTTTTGCAATCACTAAATGTATGTAACTATAAGAGATTTAAACAGTTTACGCCTAGAAATTATTAACTATCATTAATCGGATTATCCCTTATTTAAAAAAAAAGTACTACGGACTTGTTAAAAACTTAAAAAAAGGTTACCTGGGATGGACGAATTGGATAAACATAAAGGTTTCTATAAGTGTAACGTTTAAACAACGATTTTGGTAGAAAGGACAACAAACCTGTGTTCCACTGCTAACATCGTAGTAAACACCTGACGTGACTCCTTCATCCAGTTCCTAAGTGTTAATTTTAGATCAGTAACCGCATTAAAACTCGATTAAAAACACTTAGCACTGGTGGATTTTTACATGAATTTCCCAAATCTAAGTTAAATATGTTATAAAAAAAAATGTTTAAGATGAAATATCTATTAAATTTTAATGGTATGATCTGAAATTGCGATTAAAGAGAAGTAAAAGCAGATTTGTGAAATTCATGATAAAAATTCTATAAACATCGTGTGTTACATATAGGGGACCAACGGAAAACTAAGTACTACTAGATAAATTGATACCTAAAAGCATATTATTTCAAACAAACGGTTCTAATACTTCCAGTTGGACGCAGTATTCAGTTGGCCCCCTTTTTCTAATATCTTCCTTAACATCTAAGAATGCGGAAGCTCTAGAAAAAGGGTTATCCAAAAAATTATAAAACGGTGTAATAATCAAAAAAAGCTCGGCAAAACAATAGCTATGGACCGCCTAAGGCCGTCCAAGCCAAGCAAAAAGCAAAAAAAGCAAAGCTGTACTAAAATAAGCACTAAATAAGCAAAAGCAAAAAAACAAAAAGCTGAAATGTCACTGATCCTGTCCCATCGACATTATGGCTGTGACACACATATGACAGACACACAAGCTGGCGATTTCCTAGACACTTTGCGGTAGTAAGCAAATTAAAAGAAAATAAAATAGATTGAGAAACAAATTCAATGGACTCGGTTATTACGTGGTGTTGGATGTGCATTTTCAAAAAAATAAACGTGGCTCAGTAATATATGTTTGGTTTAAATCAGTAGTATAGTGTCGATAGAGTATAACTAACTATACTTCAATATTATGCTATAGGTTGAAAAAGCGTCTACTGCCTGTCAAAGTTTTTATCAATTTTAATCATTTATACTGTATGCCGATAGAATTTTTTGTTATATCATTGTATGTATGTATATATTAACACTGTATGTATTTATTGTGGCTTTCTAAACAGTAACCAGCTCTCTTGAAAACGATTGCGGTTAAATTCGGTTTCTGCTCACTTCAGACCTTTGTGGACAAAGTTCCTTCGTCAGATTAAGTTACTGTCAACAAATTTCAATATAATTTAAAGTCTTCTTTTACTAGAACAGCTTCCGTGCTTTTTTAGTTTCTTGTTGTCTGTAGTAGTATTTGTCATTAACATCAATATTATAGGCCAAGCAAAGTGCAGGTGTTGTTTTCCAGATTTTAGTTCTATAATGCCCTTTAATATTAATCATCATTATCAATGTAATAGGTCAAAGAAAATTGCTAAGTTTGATTAATGTTTGATCTTTTGACCTCTTTAGATGCTCTGGTTCAATTCACTAGTCTAAAGTTTAGTTTAGGTTTTTTGTAAGCGCAGGTGTTGTCAAGTTTTCTAGATTTTCGTTCTATAAGGGCTCTTTAGCCCTTTAGTATTAATCATCAATAGCAATGTTATAGGTCAAACAAAACTGTTGTTTGATTGTTTGGTCTTAAGAGCTCGTTAGCTCAATTAACTAGGCTAGAGTTTAGTTTAAGATTTTTGTAAGTGCAGGTATTGCCTAGTTTTCCAAATTTTAATTCGATAAGAGCTCTTTAATCCTTTAGTATTAATCATAATATCAATGTTATAGGTCAAACAAAATTGCTAAGTTTATTGTTTGGTCTTAAGAGCTCTCCAGATGCTCTGGTTCAATTAATTAGGCTAGAGTTTAGCTTCTTGTAAGTGCAGGTGTTGTCAAATTTTCCAGATTTAAGTTCGGTAAGGGCTCTTTAGTCCTTTAGAATTAATCATCTATTTCAATATTATAGGTGAAACAAAAATTGTTAAGTTTGATTAATGTTCGGTCTTAAGAGCTCTTTAGAAGCTCTGATTCAATTAACTAGGCTAAAGTTTAGCTTAGGTTTTTTGTAAGTGCAGGTATTGTCAATTTTTCCAGATTTTAATTCTATATGGACTCTTTAGCCCCTTAGTAATTATCATAATATCAATGTTATAGGTCAAAAAAAAAATTGCTAACTTTATTGTTTGGTCTTAAGAGCTCTTCAATTATTAGGCTAAAGTTTAGTTTAGGTTTCTTGTAAGTATAGATGTTATCAAGTTTTTCAGATTTTAGTTCTGTAAGAACTCCTTAGTACGTTAGTCTCTTCAGTCCTTTGGTCTCTTCAGTCCTTTAGTCTCTTCAGTCCTTTGGTCTATAGTCAATTTTTCTACCATAAGAGCATGACTAATGAAATTGTCCTTACTCTGGTTGATACATACGACTAAAACCGTGGTTTTCAGGATTTCTAGAACAACTCACCTTCAATCCAGGCTTGTACAACTTAATTTTATACGCAAAATTGATAAGGACAGCTAAAATATTTTGCTTTATCTACTTAAATACTACTTTATTGGTGCATCCTATGCAGTACGTTAATTTTCCTATACTGACTCCGGAAGATGTTATAGAAAAACGATGCTGTTGAATAGATAGAAACAGAACAAATGCATGCTATCCCACTACCGGTAGAGATGTAACAAGGCTTTTAAACGTCCAATCATAAGTGATAACTTCAACTTCAACCAGAGACGTAAACCCCAAAGCAGTTTGTGGAGTACTCAAAACGTGTGCTGTGTTTTGATCACTGATTGCGTAGTGTAGACCGCAATATCCTCCCTTTGCCATTGAAAGGGCGTAGATAAACCAAGTTACCCTCTTTACGTCTTTCACGTCTAAATATAATTAAGTGTATCATCGTTATTTTGCTTGGTGCGTTGGAGAACATACTGTATGAATAAAGCTAAATCAACCAGCACAGCTGACAGTTGGACAATCAATGATCTGGCGAAATCGTGTATAGATCAATTCTGGATTGTAAGGTTGACGGCAAACATTTTTGGTGGTCGGCAAGTCGAATATATTTTTTGAAAATGCACCAAAAAACACTTCCCGTACGAGTTCATTTGTGAGGTTAGTGTATCGGCGTGGCGGCATCGTAATAAAAATCACCCCTCTTCCCACATTTGGATAACCCTGCAACTAAGAGCACATCATATCTGAGCCAGCCACCTTGGCCAGCGGCTGACTTTGAAAATTCTCAGTTAATTAGTGACTCATAATGTGTGTCTAAGTGACTCAGAAATTTTGTTCGTTTCACTTTTCCCGGCGGCGCTCTCAATTTTGAAGTTGGCTCAGATATGATGGTATTTTTGAATGTGGCAAGTGTACTTTTTTTTTGTTATGGTGATTGTTTGGTGGAAACGATTCAACGTGCAAGCTGAGAAATTAGGGCCGGGCTGTTATTTGAGAATAGTGGTTGCTGTTAGAAAGATGTGAGTTAGCTGCTGCTGTTTTTATTAGTCAGGCAGACACTGTGCCACAATCAAACTACCGCATTAATCAAATTATATTATGCTGACTCAGTCAGATGCGCCTCGGCGGTTGTTGCAAGTTTTCACATCGAAACAAAATACAACGAATAACATTCAAAACGATATTTTTTGATTATATAACTCTAGTAAATAATACCCGGTAAATTGACTTATTAAAAAAAAAACTTAACAAGTTCAGTATTTCAAGGTAATATGAACAAAAAATATTGAATGATGACTTAATGAAATAATACAATCTCAAAATCAATACCACATAAATTTTTAACAAGATGTATGATCAATATTATGGATCCATATTAAACGAACGATATTGAGTTAAACATAAGATTGATATTTAAAATTTAAACGGTGGTACTGGAGCGAAATTAATAGAAATATTCTATTGCTTGTTCCAGTACCACAATTTAACTTTTAAGTATCATGAACCAAGTTGTTTCATTCCATGTTGTTAAAAATGTATTTCACCTGAAGTTATGTAATAACGATAAATTTATTTGGTATTAATTTTGTGATGTTATTCTCTCATTGAAAAAATATTGATTTGATAGATAATATGGACTCATTCTAGTTCGAAAATATATACAGAATATTTTTATATAAAATATTAAACAGATAGATAGATAAATAAATAAATAAATAGATAAACTTAAATTGTATAGAGTGTACCAAAGATCGTAAAATTAGACTAAAATAACAAGAAATCCATAAAGTTTGAATTTGAAGGAAGCAGAATAATAGTACAAATTTAAACGGTCTTAGAGGTCTAACAAAATGAAGAAAATAGAGCAAGCGTGCCAGACTGATAGTTTTACTAATATAAAAGGCCATAATTCGGATTTCCCCGTGTAACTATATAGATGTGGGTGACAAAAGATAGAAGATCAGAAATCGATAAGAGGGTAAATATGTAACTAAAGCGATTCTATGAACTTATTTTAAGTTTTTTTTTTGTGGACGAAAAATCGGTCGATGTGTAAACTCTTTTTTAGCTGTGAGACGACTGACTGGCTTATTAAAAGGACAAAGAAAAATTTAGTATTATTGGCCCATACCGGTGCTGCTTGCCGACCCCCCCTTCCTCTCGCTGGCGTCTGGGCCGGCTGATAATCGTAATAGTAATCTTCATACCGGTAAAAGTCATCGTAATAGGGATCACTGTAGCCGCCTCTATAGTCCCCGTAACCGTAATAGTCGTAATCGTAATCTACAAAAAGACAATAAGTCCCAATTTAGCCAACTAGATTATCCAATCGGATATGCCTGGAGAGTTTTCTTTTTCTTTAATTACTACAAATTAGCATGCCGGGAAAAGAGTCAAGTAACGATTCTCGCCAAATTCTATTCGGCTGTTTTTACCACATACACTAATATTTACTTTTACTTTATATATAACAAATTCTATTCTATACATAAATGTGGGAATACATTCACATCATAAATTTTCCAACGGATACTCAAAGCAGGAAAATGACACTACGCGACCTGGGTTGGTCTCTTGTTAATATCGAATTAAAATAATAGTAAAAGGACAAATAACTATTTGAAAATTACTTCAAAACAAATAAATTATAAGTAATATTTCATCAAACTTTCTTTAGGTAGCAAGTAAATTAGAAAAGGGACAGGTACAAAGCTAGCAAACGGTCTTAGATCTGGTTAGTGAAAATGCGGTATTCAACAAATTATGGTTAGTAGTAAATAAAAAGCAATAAAAAATGTAAAAGCGAAATGATATGTTGTGAAATGGGACCTGGAAATAAACAATCAATAAATTGCTGTATGGATCAGGAAGAACGAGATGAAAATAGCTAAGTTAGTAGTTATAACATTCACTTCTGATGAAGGGAATGATTTAGGTACTCGAACCAAAATCATAACAGAAACGACTGTTAATAGTCAAATCATACAGTGGTGTATAAAACAAGCGATATTGCAAAATATGGGGAAGAATTTTTAATGGTTTATATACTGTTTTCGAAGGTGAGGAAGACTAATTTTTCCGGCCAAAAAGTTAATGACCAAAAAGTAGTTACAAAAGTGATTTTTAATTTCCCCACCACCCATAATAATGGAGAGGTTACGACAGTCATTCCCAAATTTGACATAACACCAGATCTTTACGTTCTGGAGTCCTAGGAATCAAAAAAAAATAAATCATGTTTTTAAAAAAGTACTAATGTACGTGTGTTGACGTTTTTTTTTGTTATCACGATCTAGCCCAAACTATCCAGTAAATTTCGATGTGATTTGAAATATGGTGTTTCCGGGTGCCCCTGAAGAACTGATTAGATTTTGAGCATAGTTGAAACAACTGAGGAATATTTTATAGTTTTTTTTTTACTTTTTGATATATTTATGATTGAAGAAAAATTTTTGTCTTATGATATCCCTAAAATGGACCGTATTGGAGATATTTGATGAACTATACAAAATTCATTTTTGTTGTTTTTATTGGGATCTAACTTTAGTGGAAAATCATGGGTTAGGACACATTAGATATAAATGAGAAAAAATAATATTTAGGATTTTAAACTATTTAAAATTGTAATAGCCACTGATTTCGAGGGTTTGGTGGAGACATTCACGAAGCTGTTATATTTGTTATATTAACTACTAAGCTATAAAAATCTCTTTTGTAACTGCTTTTTTTGCTTATAACTTTTTCCCCTGAAAAAAGAAAAGCAAGATAACAAAGTTCAAAAACATTAAAAGCCACTGATAAATTATTCTTTATTTTTGCAAGGCTTGAACATTGACTGAACAGTGTTTTTTCGAATAGGTATATATTAGGTTAGTGCCTTTTTTACATAAACTCAAAAAATTCAGGAGATTATTTGAAAATGATAAGATACAAAAAGAATTCTTGAGTAATCATAGTTTAGCATTCAAAATACAACTAGACATTCTTGGAAAAAGCCGCAACAATTTAACTTCAAACAAAAACATAATATGCAAACCGACAAGACGTTACACAGCGTGTTATCAAACCTAAATACCATTTTTCTCAAAAGAACAATAAAAAAATTTAATTGCACAAATTCCACAGTCTTAAAATAAATCTTTCAACAATGCATGAATGAATAACGCATTTATGTAATTTGTGATTACCCATATTATTATTTTTTATTTTAATTTTAAAACAATTTGCGCAACTTAAAAATTTGTTTTTTTTTTATTTTGGACTTTTGAGAAAATTTTATTTATGTTTGTTTTTTCTCGATCTGGTCAAAAAGTCTGTAAAAAATTGGTATCAAAACAGAGATGCCAAATTTATTGCTGTATTCTGACAAAAAAGATACAAAAATGGATAGAAATAAGAGGAAAAACAATTATGCGAAAGAAATAAAGCTGAGAAAGGCTCAGAAAAAAACAACTTGCAGAATAGTATTTGATTGACTTTACTATTAAAAGTTACATACAATGCTTTTTTTGGAAAGAGAATGGAAAATGTAAGAAAAATGATAAATTGCAAAAAGGGAAAAACAAGGAGCACATTTAGATAGACTATAAAAAATTAACCAATAGAAGAGTGAGTCGCTTTCATGTTATAAACCAAAGCGAATTGGACACATCTTGACCTGTATTCCATTAGTCCGTAAAAGTTCAACGGCAGAAATTATTGGAACTACAAAGAAGTACCAATTAATTACGAAAGTTTTGCTATCATTTCGCGCAAATTCCCATTATGAGTATCCGATGATAATAATAATAATAATAATAATCAGTAAAATATATATAAAAAAATCTAATGGGAATCCCTACACCACAGCACGTACTTACCTGACGCTCCTGGCTGCAAGCGAAATATTGTATCAAAAACAACACAAAGTGTAAGAAAAAAGACAGAGGTACACATGCATGTTAGAGTCGGAGGCGCGTGCAATGCTATACGATGCCCTTCTGCCTTGCTGCGGTGCCCCCGGCTAAACATTCATTCACTATCATACGATTTCAATTCGAACGTATTGAAACTCGCTTTGGATGAAACGGACTCGCTCAATATTATTGGACTAGCTTTTGAAGGGACGTGTTTCTTCGTTTAGACACGCCCAAAACGTAATAGTTTTATCGTAATTTATAATTTTATTGCTTGTTAATTAACAGGTAAGTATATATATTTTTATAAAAAAACAATGAAATCAAATCCTAAATTCCCCGTATGTAAAAATGTAATGTATCCCCAAAACACCAAAGTTAAATGAAACTAATGAGAATTTAAAGAAAGTACGTGAAATATAGGATTTTTTTTTAATGTATTTATATCATAAGATATTTTCTCGTGACTTTTTGGCCATCTTAATAATTATTGTACTTTTGTGGCCTTCCTAGTGGAAAGAGAATAATGATATGCCAGATGAAATAAAGTGTACCTTAAAAACAGTAGCTATTAAAAAAAAAAGTGAGATTTAAAGGACTTTTAGTTTCTTTAATAAAAATTAACTCGCAGTGAGTATCAATACACAAGGTGGTCCAATTAAAACAGTCCACCTGAAATATTTTCCTATGAGAAGTTTTTTTGGGAAATCCCGAGATCGATCGATTTTGATTTCAAGGGCGACTTCTTTTGATCTTTAATTCATTAATGTAGGTTCATCTCCCTGAACGGGGTGGCAATCCCTTCAAGAATACTAAATGGCACGAGAGGTCAAGTGGCACATCATTTTAAAGGTATTTCAATTATCTTTTCAAACATTGACATTTTTTGTTCTGTGTAAAAATTAATGTAAAACATCTGTTGGGAGTGTCAGTGAAATAAATCAATAAAAAAAAAATATCAAGAACTCAACTGCAAAACATTAAGTTTTTATCAGCGAAGCCTTGATAATGTGACGGATTTATTTTAAGGTTTTACATTTACATTTACATTACATTAATCACAATTATTGTCTAGTGAGTTTAATGTATAGAAATTTGCTTATTTGTTATTATCCACTATCTTGATGCAAACGATCCAAATCATGGTTTACACCACAGCAAAGCGAATTGAAATTGTTGCACTATATTTTAGCAGGAAACTGCAAGAATGTTTAATGAAAGGCATTCTGGTAAGAACCTCGGCTATCCCTACGTAACTTAATAACTAAATTCTAGGAGACAGGATCTATTGCTAACAAAAAACACAAAGTTGCTAACTAGGCTGCACAGGTTACAATTTAGGGTTATGTTAAAGTGGATCCTCCTTCAAGCATCAGAAAAGTAGCAAGCAGTAACTTCAGGAATTCCACGTAGTAGTCTTCAGAGAATTTTAAAAAAGCATTGAGTCCATCCATATAAGATTCATCTCGTGCAAAAACTCAATGAAGATGATTCAGATCACCGTAAACAATTTTGTGAGGAGATGGTTGAAAGAATTTTAAATCTACATGCTTTACTGATGAAATGAACATTCTTTCTTAATGGTAACGTCAACAGACATAATTGCAGATACTGGAGTGATTCGAGTCCACAAGAGAATAGCATTCAAACATCATATTCATTAAAATTCCTCGCATATATCTACAAATGAAGTTTTATGTATGCTGCAATAATTGAATTAGCAGTTACATAAAATCTTTTGTACTTCTTTTTAGTTAATTCCTGTGACAAACATTTATACGATGATAATTTTTATAAATCACAATAATATTGCATGCAGGTCAGCACAGTAATGTATACAAGTTACACATCTTTAAGATGGCTATCTTTAGCTTTACATCGCAGACCTGGCAGACCTAACAGTTCGTCCCGCGTTCATAGATGGAGATACCAATGATCACTTGCTACTTACCTAACCGGTAGTACTGTATATTGTGGAGCAGTCTGTTGCCCAGTATTAATTTAGACCATTGTATTAGCATACTTTTTCTGTAAAATTTTCTGGGATTAGAAGTTTAACTTGTCTTTTAAGCTTTTAACTTCAAGTTTATTTATTTTTATTCTGTTTTATATAGATGAAATATAAAATATTTATATAACATAATGGTTCATATAAAAATTAAAAGATAAAGACAGAAATAAAAAGGTATGAACTGTATCGTATTTGGAACGTCACATTTGGTTTATTAATATGTTATTTTATGGGCTTTTATAATAACATCTACAAGAAGTAAAAAGACTTTCTTGGATATAACAGGAATGTCACATCTGGTTTGTTAAAAAGCCATCATTTTTTGGAACGTTAAATGAAACATAACAAGGCAGCGCTGTAATATCACCGCAACGTCTACATTGTTTCATCACAAAAGTAAACGTCCCTACTCTGGGCTTAGACGGTTATGAGTCCGTCCTACATATGAAAACAAGAGTAAAAATAAGAGTTACAATGTAATTTAACGTTTTTATGCATAGTGGGTGGTAACTTGACGGGTGAGTCTTACAATTGCACATACTGGAGTGACTTGAATCCACGAATTATGAGAGAACAGCATTCACAATATCCAGAAGAGTTAAATGTATGAATTGGGATTTTGGGCAATAGTATTGTTGGTCCCTTTTTCTTCCTGGTAACTTGATGTTCAAGTCTTACCTGAATTTGCTTAAAGACTTGATCTACCCTCGCATTGTGGAGATTCTCGAACACGAGGAACAGATCCCATAAAATTATGTATTTTTTCAGCAGGATAGCCCCCTGCTACACTATGCAGCTACCAGACGTGATTTTTTAAATCAAAATTTTCCCCAACAATGGATTGGTAGAAGGGGTTTTATTGAATGGCCCCCAAGATCGCCAGATCTATCACCAATTGGACTTATTCTTAAAGCGTTATTTAAAATGTGTTGTTTATAAGATGAAACCTACATCTTTAGAAAATCTTCGCTACCGAATAGTGAAGAAATAACCCCTGAAATGATCCGAAATGTTCGGGACCATGTTGAATAAAGACTATTAATGCATGGAAGTAAATGGGTCGCAATTTTAACATTTGATTAATTAAAACTTGTTTTGAAACTTTTTTCTTTGATTCATTTCACAGACACTGCCAACAGGTGGTTTACATTAATTAAAACAAAGAATAAAAAATGTCAGCATGTTTGAAGAGAGAACTGAAATACCTTTCAATTATGTGTCACTTGATCCTCGTGTTTTAATTGGGCCAAACTGTAATAATATATCATCGTTTAGGTATTTTAAAGCCAAACAACTTCTACATTTAGTTTTGATAGATTTTGGATTTTTGGGCCTATAAAGCGAAAAAACATGTATTTTTTGGCGCCCTCTATTTTTTGTATTTATTATTATAACGTAATGACCCAATGAGATAAATTGTAGAAAACATTGTTAACTACAACTTTTATATTAAACATTTTTTGCCACGACCCATCGTAACACAAAATGTCTAATTATTTTCGAAAAAAAAAAAACACGTTTTATTGATTACATTGTAAAATAGCTGGAATCGAACCAACCATTAGTACTCTAGTGCCTTGACCAATCGGATATTTTTTTAATTTTTCATTAGTTTGTTTTTGCCTCTTGGGGGTTTGGAGATAAATTTCATAATTTTGTATGGAGAATTTTGGAATTTACAAAAATAAAATATAGAATTGCTGTTGTTGATCTATTCAGAACATTTTATAGTGAAAATCAAAAAAGAATGTACTGAATGGTTGAATACACCCTATCCTTAATTTAAATTTGTTACTAGTATGAAACGCCAGCTATGAAAGGCTGTGTCACTATTGCAGAACACTATATATCTTTTTCATGAGAAGATATTTAAGAAAATAAGATTTTATTCTATACAACACTGTCAGCTGGTTGCAAGAACGTTTAGGCCCATATACTTTTGACAGAGGTTTAATAATTTATTGTTCTGTCAAAGTTTGTCAGGCTCATAAATTTTAATGAATGTTCTTGCAACCGGCTGTAAAAGTAAATCTTTTTTAAAACAGCATAGACAATTTACAAAAAAAAATCGTTCTACATGTAAAAAATAATCATGAAAATTTTAAAATGAATCAAACTAAATTTCTTTTATTAAGAAAAAGTCCAGTTTCATCAAACTACCATTCACCCAAACTACAGCTGAACTACGTAAGATCTACTACATACACCTATTTAGTTAAAAACATTACAGGCACTACAATAATAATTTACTTTCAGACCTGTAAAGAACTTCAAATGCATTATGATTATTTTTTAAGGCAGTAGTAGAACAATTATTATTTTTATTATATGTAGTTCTTCATCGACTTGCAGTCAGACCATCGTCGTTTTGCTCGAGGGGGTAAACATTTACAAAGGGTTTCGTGTAAGACATACAAACAAGAAATGTTAGTGCTAGAAATATTTTGGGTTATTATGGTTTCCTGTTAATTTCTCTTTCGTACACAAGGAATTGATTAATTATTACTGTACAAAAAAAAACAATTTGTTAAAAGCGTCAAATGAGCTAGTAACGCAGATCGAAAAAAATTATATTAATTCTGCGTTACTCTGAGTGCAATAAAAATTATTTTCCTGCATGTTTTATTTACTATGTACTACATGGCTAGATTTTTCTATTGTTTGATATTACCGGCGTAAAATGTAAATAAATAAGTCAAAACTGTTTTATCAGTTTCAAATCAACTGTAAAGATCTAACAAAACAAGTTGAGAGTGAGAAGAAAAAAATGTATTATTTTTAAAACGTTTCGGCTAAAAACCCTTCATTAAAGCTACCCTAAAAATATTTGCATTTAAACAGTAAAATAAAAATATTAAAAAGACCTCTGTCACTATTTCGACAAATGCTCCTAAACGTCATGTCAATATTGATGGAGATAATTCCTTGGTCTATTATACGATTAAAATTTTTTCAAGTTCCTTTTTCAAAGATGGTTTTTTTAATCATTAATATCCCAAACATTCTTTTGACAATTTTGATTAAACTTGACAGGTTTGTTCATAGTAAGAGGATAATTCAAACCTGACAGTTTAAGATAAAGTCCAGTAGAGTCCCGGAGGGAAACCTGATATTTCTGAAAATCCTGTTTCTTTAAATTAAATTTTAATTATAAAATAGGGCAAGAAATTACACCATTCAATATTTATGACATTTAGGACCATCCTGTTTTTCTATGATATTAGAGTTAGACAAAGTACTTTTTCCCTACTGATTCTGTAAACCTCTCAACTACACGCACGAAAATATTGAACTGAAAAATCTTTAAATTCCAAAATATTAATTTTTTCTTTTGATTGCCCTGACCCAGAAATCAATTTATTAAATAATTTTATCAATTTTTATGACTTACTGCGAAATATTGTTGAAGAAAAATAAAAAATGCGTTAAAAAAACATGTTTTTTCTTTTAATTGAAAAGTATTTTTATTGCACCATTCCTCGCGCTGAAAGAGTGGCATTGTGGAAAGTTGATGTAAACTGGGTAAATTCTTGCATACTCTCAAATATGAGTTGAATAGTTACTTGACTAACAAGCAGACTAAGGACCATATTATATATATGTATAAAAAATAATTATGAAATAACAAGATTCTATACAAAGACTTACCGTAGTCTCCCCGTCCCATCGGCGCCGATCTCATGGTTCCTCCTCCTGTTCCCCTGGGGCCTCCTTGTCCGGGCGGTCCCCTCATGGGCATCGTTCCAGGCATCATTCTAATAATAATAATAATAATACTTTTATTTAACTAGAAATCTCTCAAAAGACTTTTTCTTTAATTACAAATAGTCAAATTTAATACTTGTCACAGCACATATACAAAAGATTACAAAAATATTTATGTATATACGAAGAAGCAAGTATAGGGTCCAATGTTAGATCCGTACACCGCTTTCTACATTTACTTTAGGATAATAAAGCAAATGATAATAAAAAATATAAATAAATTTAAAGTAAAAATAACAGTGCTTTCATAAAGTGTGAAAATACTCCATTATCTTATTATACTCTTCACAAGGTAGTCTGTGACTGTTTCCGTCCGTCCGATGTCACGTTTATTGTCCGCACGATAAGTCAATAACGAAAAATGATATCAATTTGAAAATTTCAGGAGAAGAAGCCTATTTATTTAAAAAAAAAATCTGAATAAAAACAGGAAAGGGGTTTAAGGGGGGTTGAAATATTAAAAAAAATCCTACTCTATAAGAGGAAGAATACCTTTGATTTTGAAAAATTTGATTAAATATGTGGGGGTTAAGGGGGGTTTAAATATAAAAAATCATAAATTAAAAATGAAAACAACATGAAATTTTTAATAAAAAATCAAGCTATGCAAGGAAATGAAACCTGTTGATTATGGAAAAAAGAAAGAAAAATATGGGTTGAAATATTAAAAAAATCCTAACACAAAAATAAAAAAATCAAGCTTTATAAGGGAAAGAAACCCTTTGATTTTTAAAAAATCTGATTAAAAATGGGAGTGGGTTAAGAGGAATGAAACTAAAAAAAAAAATCTTAAATCAAAAACGAAAAGCGATATCAACATGATATTTTTAGTAAAAATCAAACTATAAGAAGATGAAGCCTACAGATTCTGAAAAAAAATTGAATTAAAATGGGGGATTGAAATATTAAAAAAAAAACCTAACTCAAAAAGAATAAATAAACTTGAAATTTTTAGCAAAAACCAAGCTCTATAAAAATTTGAAAAGAAAATCTGAATAAAAATGAGGCTTTTTTTAAGAGGGAAATATAAGATGAGGGTTGGGGGTTGAAATATTTTAAAAACTCCTGACTCAAAAACGAACAATATATCAACTATTCAAGGAGGTCGAAAAAAAAAAAGGAGAAATCAAAAACCAAAAGCGATATAAAAATGAAATGGTTAGAAAAAATCAAGCTCAATGAGGAAATGAATAAATAAATAAAGATATGGAGATAAGGGGGGATTTAAATATTGAAAATAATCCTAATTCAGAAATAAAAAAACGATATAAAATTGAAATCTTCATGAAAACTCAAGCTTTATAAGGGGATGAAGCCTAATTGAAAATGGGGGTTAAGGGAGTCTGTTAAACTGTGCCAAACATTATACAAGGTGGCCCAATTAAAACAGTGCACCTGAAATATTTTCCTATGAAGTTTTTGGGAAATCCCCGAGACCAGTCGATTTTGATTTCAAAAGGGAATTCTTTTGATATTTAATTCATGGATGTAAGTTCATCTCCCTAAATGGGATGGCAACCCCTTCAAGAATATTAAATGGCATAAGGGGTCAAGTGGCACATCAATTTAAAGGTATTTCAATTCTCTTTTCAAACATGATGACATTTTTTGTTCTGTGTTAAAATTAATGTAAAACACCTGTTGGGAGCATCGGTGAAATAAATAGAAGAAAAAATATTCCAAACTAGTTTTAATTAATCTTACATTGTGATCCTTCCATGGAATAATAAAGTCTTTATTAAACATGTTCCCGAACATTTCAAGGATTCTATATCTGTAACGTGTGGAGGGTGGGTTAACCCACGGCACTTAGGCCTCACTAGGCCCATTGTGCATTATCCTAAGTAGATAGGTACCTCCTACCTCGTGAGCCAGGCTACAGATTTAATGTAGTTGACAACGTCGCCAAGAGGTGCTTCTCTTATATCGGCTGGTGTTAGCCAATTCTCGCCAAACACAAATCTTCTAATAAATGAGAGCGTCGGGCAATCGTAGAGGATATGCTCGATGGTCTCATTTTCTTGTTCGCACCCCCTGCAGAGTGCGGATTCCGACAGCCCCATGATATGAAGATGCTTCCTTATTTGGCAATGTCCAGTCAAAATGCCTGTGATCAGGCACAGATTCTGTCTAGTCATAGTCAAGTATTTGTTCACTGTAGTGTTGTCAGGATAAGTTAAAAGCTCCCTGGCAAGTCTGCAGCTTCTTGTTTTATCCCATCTTTCCTTGAATTTCACAGGTTAATGTTCTTTAATTAGGTTTGTCACTACCGATGTTGTCAGTCCAATAGAAAGGCCAGGTCCAAAAAGTATTTGGTTGACTGCCTTCTTGGCAAGTTAATCAGCAAGTCAATTACAGTCAGTTACTTTTCGATGTGGCGTGACCTTTGATCCATCTTAAATTGACCACATTGTTGATGGATACTTCGGCTAAAGCTTCATGACATTCACGTACTAACCCTGAATAAATTCGTGATCTGTCCAGGGCGAGTAGTGCTTGTCTGCTATATGGATAGAGCATGTTTCTTCCAGTAGTATTATTTCTGGTGATTTCTTGTGAGCTCAGTTTGAACTACACTGGCAGTACTGCTCACAGCTCATTTTATATTTAGGTTTAAGGATTTAGTTTAGATTATATTCCACATCCTGAGCCTTGTATTGTTTTAGAACGTTCGGTGTAGATATTAATCGTACCTGCCTCATCTGGCTCTTCTATTTGTTCCGTTATAGCTTTATATGGCTATCGAGCGCCTCCTGCCAAAAGCTACACCTCGCGTCAACAGATCCTACATCAGGTTCTATTCCAAGGCGAGTTTGTCATCAGAGCAACCTCCTTGATGTAAATATCAAGGGGAGTGAGACTAAGAATAACTTTCATGGCTCTGATCTGTTTTTCATGGATCCTGTTAGACAACTGCAGCGTACATTAGCAAAGATTTTATGATGGCCGTGTAAGTCCAAGCGATGTCTCTGGGGGAGAAACCACAGGTGCCCCTCACAGTTCGGCGGCATTATTCATAAATAATGGGATTGATACAGTGAGTGATCCTTGCACCACCGTTCTATAATATTGAGAGCTACTTGCATTCTTTCGTAGAGTATGTTCTCAAAATTCCCTGTTTATAGAATGACCAGGTCACCTGCATACCTTATTGTATAATAACTGTCATTAATGAGGCGGCTGATGTGGGTGTCGAGAACCATGTTCCACAGTAGAGATGATAGCACCCCTCCCTGTGAACATCCCCTCGTAACAAAGTCTCATATTCAATCTTCTACACTTATGATTACTGCTCGCTTTGACAGCATGTTGTGTATACACCCACTAACCATCTGTGGAACATTCATGTTGTTTAGAGAGTGTATTATCTTGGGGAAAGGTCGTCTATCCAGCCAGCAACTAGGTGAAGGGCTAAATCAATAGATCTGCCTGGGGTGTATGCATGTTGACTTGGGTGTAGTATTATTGTAATTACCACATCCCTTATGTACCTTTCACATAGCCTTACCAATGACTATATGGAAAAAGGCTAATTGGTCGGTATATTTTTTGGACAGTCATCAAGCAAATTTAAGTAAGTCTCATTCATCAAGTTACCTGGTAGAAAAAGGGACCAACAATATTATAACCCACATACTCAACTTCTCTGGATATTGTGAATGCTGTTCTCCCATAATTCTCTCAACCATCTCCTCACAAAATTGTATACGACGATCTGGATCACTTTCATCGAATTCTTGCATGAGATGAAATTGATATTTTTTTAAAATTCTGTGAAAATTACTACATGGAAGTCCAACAGTTGCTGCTTCTTTTCTGGTGCTTGAAGCAGGATCCAGTTCAAAATTACCCTAAAGTGCAACCTGTGCAGCCTCGTTAGTAACAGTATGTTGCCTTTCATGTTTTTTGTTAGCAAGAGATCTGGTCTTTATGAATTTAGTTATTAAATTTACTACATAGGAATGGCTGAGGTTCTTACCAGGATGTCTTTCATTAAAAATTCTTGGAGTGTCCCGGGCTCCTATTATTGTTGCTAAAATAGAATACGATAATTTCAATTCATTCTGCTGTGGTGTAAACCATGATTTGAATCGTTTGCTTCAAGATAGCGGATAATAAGTAAGCGAAATTTTCTACACTAGACAATAATTGTCATTAGTGTAAAATCAGATTGCAACTACCTGTAAAACGGTAAAAATAAATAGTCACATTTTCAAGGCTTCGCTGATAAAAACTTAATGTTTTGCAGTCGAGTTCTTCCATATTAGTTTTTTTTTTTTTTATTTTTTATCGGTGTATTTCACCGACACTCCCAACAGGTGTTTTACATTAATTTTAACACAGAACAAAAAAAATATCAGCTGATTTGAAAAGAGAATTGAAATATCTTTAAAATGATGTGCCCTTCGTGCCATTTAGTATTCTTTAAGGGGTTGCTACCCCGCTCACGGGAATGAAACTACGTCCATAAATTAAAGATCAAAATCAACCGGTTTTTAATTAAGCAGCCTTAGAGAACGGGGGTTCAATTTCTCTTCGTTTATGCTGACAAAGGGGACAGGAGAATATTATAAATCTTACGTAAGATAAAAAAAATTACAAAATGATATCAATTATTAACGAGTTAGAAAAATTAATTTACTTTTTTGAAGCTTAATTTTGATACTTAATAAAAGGTTTGAAAAACTTATTGCTTGGGGTTTTAAAACTATTGAAAGTTTGCTTATGTAATACATAAACGCCACCTAATAGAAAAATAAAAGTAAATTTTAAAAATAAATGTATATAAAACCAGAGCTGTGAAAGATAAAGAAATGTATGATGACGCCGTATCTACAGACAGAGCAAATATAACTAGTTATTTCATATTTTGTATTGACGGAAAGATAATTTACAGTTTCCATCGAAAGTTTTCAAAAATCCTGCTTTTATATTACTTGCTATGTAAACTAATAGAACAAAGCGCCTAGCAACTTCAAAATGCCTTTCGATAAAAACATCTATTATATTATCAAACATTTACCGCCTAATTCACAAACGATCTCTACACATGCCTGAGTAAATTTTAATGAATCTAATAAATTCGGGCGAAATATCACAGTCTATTATTTAAGTACTGATATTTAAAAACATCGGTAAACTAACAAAACATGGTTAATAAGTTCTTTTATTGAATTGCTAAATGATTTTTTAGAAAACAAATATTTAATGATTTAAGGAAACCCCATTTATTTGAATAGTAAAAGTTATAAGGATTTACTCACAGATAAATATTTAAATATGCTTCGTGAATACGAGAATTTATACAAACAAAATCACTTACCCTCCCCTAACTTGCATCATTTGCATCATTCTTCTTTCTCGAGCTCGTAAAATTTCTTCTTTTTTCTTTTTATCTGAAGGAGGTTTGGCTAGTGAAACTTCAATATTGGATCCTCCCAATTCTTTAGAATCTAACGACTCCATCGCCTAAACAAGTCGATTACAAGTATTAGAAATTAAAAATTTAAAAAAACCGACTTCAAAAACGTGCCAAATTTATATGGGACCACCCCTGAGGTACCCCCTTACTAACAAAAAAAGAATCATATAAATCGGACAAGGTGGTAAAGCATTATCACTAAACATACATAAAAAATGAAGAATTTGAGGATTTTCTCATGGTCCCAATTATTAGATTTTCACCAAATTTATATGGGACCACCCCTGAAGTAGCCCTTTTCTAACAAAAAAAGAATCATTGAAATCAGACACCGTGTTAAAGAATTATCGCTGAACATACATAAAAAAAAATATCGCGACGAATTGAGAACCTCTTCCTTTTTTGAAGTCGGTTAAAAAGAATGCGTTACACTCGTAAAAATTTGATTGTAATCATAATGTATACCTTAACGGCATTGTCCCTATCTTCAAAATGTATAAAAGCGTAGTCTTTAATTTTCTTAACCCTCTCCACCTTGCCGTACTGTTCGAATTCTTCTTTAAGTTTCTCTTCTGTTATTTCTTGCGTAAGATTCCTAACGTAGAGGACCTAAAACACGATCGATTTGTAAGATATTGGTTGGCATTTCAATCCTGAAAAGTTCACCACAGTCAAAAAACATTTACCACTGTCGAATATATTAATTACAACAAGTGTTAAAAAAAAACAATGTGGCAGCAGTTCTAAGTGCGATAGCTCCTTGATTACAAATAGCAAAATATATTTAACAGATAAGTTATTATGTAGGGTGTTACTGAAATACATGCACATGTTAAAAGTGACAATAATAATAATAATAATAATAATAATAATAATAATAATAATAATAAGTGTCCGAGGTTTAAAATTAAATTTTATACATCTACAGCTTCCAGAGATTGGAAGCCAGAATGGCTATTTCTCTCTCCTCTTCAATTTACTTGTGTTATAGTTTCCCGCTTCAGACTTCAGATTTCAAAACATGTCCCTAACCCTAAATATGTTTACATTATTAATTTGATTTGTCTTGTGTCATTTTTCTTTTTTGATTGGATTTTATACAGAGATTCGATATTTTGTTAATACTAACGATTAATTTCAACAGTGGAAATGTTTATGTTCGTACATGTGTCAAAAAACGAAGAAGTCGCGATTAAGTGACATAATACGTATAGATAGAGGGTGTTCAGTAGGTATGCCGGTGAAAGTAAGATGCGCAGAGAAGAGCACATTTCACGGAGGGTGCAGATACACTCGGTAGGATGATCGGTACCCTTATTTTGTAGATTAAATCTTCCTTTTCTTATTAGAAATCTATTTTGTTCTAATCCATTTTAATATTAATTTATTTTTATAATAATTTATTTTAAATTTACTTTTTTTAAATTTGCGTTACTTAAAATGCTTCTCTATAAGTACAAATGATTTCTATGCAATGGCTTTAAAAAATTTGTTTCTATTTTCCATCAGAGAAGTGAAAGGTCTAATTTAAATTTTGGAACGTAGAGGACAGATATGGACTTGGTTGACATTTCTGGCTTAGTATTAGAAAAAAAGAACTTACTTAATGAATAGATAAATACGATAAATGGTTCCTTCAATATGGCAGACGTAGACACTGGGTACATAAACAAAAGTATATATTATTTTATGTGATTTGAAAATAGTTTAATGTATTAAATAATTTTTTATAAAGAGCATTTTGGTAAATTGGACTTAGTAAGTTCTAAAATAGATTTATTCATAATGTATCCAACATAATTCAAAATAAACAGAAATGTATTGTATATTTTGCTGATGATACAAATTTGGTAATCAGAGAAAACCAAACATTTATAACGGGGAAAAAAACCTTTTTAATAAAAGAAAAATGGTTTGAATAAAATAAATTAATCTTTAATGCAAATAAAACTAATATTATTTTTTTAAAAACAGATAAAATCAGAAAAAAAACGACCAGTGTACTTTTACAATCAAATAACATCGAGTTTCAAAATATACAAAAATCTTAGAAATATTTATAGATAATTTTTAAAAGAAAGGAACAGACTGAATTCACTTTAAAAAAACAGTAAGTAAATATATCAATGAAAAAACTCTAAAATATCATGCACACTTTGGAGTTAATTTCAAGGCATGGGAATTATGTTCTGAGGAATGGAATGTAATTTGGGAGGTGTTAATTACAAAAAAAAAAATAAGAATTATTTACAAATAGAATTATTCAAACAAAAATAAATGTTAACGGTATATGGTCTTTATATGAATGTTTAATATTTTTATAGAAACATACCACAGATTTTAAATATGATACAAGAACGTTAAACATCACTTGTCTTCATTATTTAACAATCACACAAATAAATCCATCATACGTCAATAAAGTTTTTTAGTAACTTCCAAATTTTGTCAAAGAAATAAGTAACAAAAAAACCATTTAAAAAGAACATTCGAAAAATTGTAATATACAGGGTGTTTCCGAACTTGGCGTCCAAATTTGTAGGGGTGGTAGTTCGCATAATTTGAGAGCGATTGGCAGATTTCATTTTTCTAAAAAAATTATAATAAACAAAAGAGCCATTATAAAAAAAAATCAAAGAGCAGGTCGTACCCTGAGCGCGTAGCGCAATAGTCCTCAAAAACAGAAGTGATTTGCAATTTTGTCGATTCTAAGCGTAGCGCGCGCGATTTGAGCCAATCACATCGCTGTGCAGGACCGTACCTGTTTATAATTTTTAATTTTTATTTTAAATATTTTGGAAGAATGAAATCTGCGAATCGGTCTCAAATTATGCGAACTACCACCCCTACAAATTTGGACGCCAAGTTCGGAAACACCCTGTATATATAACAGTTTAAATGGTTTTTTAATTCGATGTTGTGAATCATACACGGTTGAGCAAAATTGGCGGTACACCCGATTTGTAACTCAATTATAGATTGTATTACCGAAGGCATTTGACTGTGTTTCACATAAACTACTTTTATCGAAGCTGGAAATGTATGGTATAAGAGGAACTCCTTTAAAACTTTTAAGTAGCTACTTGTCGGAACGTAGTCAGTATGTCCAAGTAAATGGTGATAAGTCAAAAGTAAGGAGTATAGAACATGGAGTCCCACAGGGCTCAGTTCTGGGTCCGCTATTTTTTATAATCTTCATTAACGATATTTTCGAGTATATCAAGAAAAAAGAAGTTATTTATTCTGATGACGTTACTGTCCTGGACATTGCCAGTTCTTTAAATGATCTATACTGCTCGCATAATGAAACCATTTTGGAATATTCTAATTATTTTAAGATGGTAAATTTAAAACTAAATGAGGATAAAACTCAAAATTTAATATTTAATTTAAATCTATTAGAAAACAATGAGAGATGTTCAATGAAATATTTGGGTATTCAGGTTGACAATAGTTTTTCTTGGGAACCACATATAAATAATCTTCTAACTCGATTATCTAGTTATTCATATTTATTTGCATATCAAGTAAATGACAAGGTCTTACTTATGGCTTATCATGGTTTATTTCACATCATTATGACATACGGTATACTTGTTTGGGGAGGCTCATGTCATCTAGGTAAAATATTGATTGCACAAAAGAAAGCTATTCGAATAATAACTAAAGCTAATTTCAGGGACAGTTGTCGTCCATTTTTTAAAAAATTAGGAATTCTGACATGTGTAAATCAATATATCTATGAATGTTTAATTTATGCAAAGAGGAATATTATTAACTTATGCAACGCCTATAAAACAAGAAATATGCAAGTAAGATTGCCATTTCTTCGACTACAAAGAATCACAATTCTTTTCAATTTTTTCATGTTAAGTTGTTTAATCTACTTCCCCTTGAGTGGCGCCTGCTTAACGAGATAAAATTTTCCAAAAAAATAAAAACTTTTCTGAAGGAGAATGTTTTCTATGATATCCATGAATTTTATCGACATTTTGAATTGACTTATATTATATAAAAATTTTTAATTTGTTCTTCAGTCTATATGTATTGTAGTTATAGTCTTCAATTTATTGTAAATGTTTTTGTTTTTATACTATTAGTGACATAAGTATTAATTGTAATTGAAATTGACGAATGTATACAAAAAATTTTTTTGCCTTAATACAATAAAAAGTAATAATAATATAATATTAAAAATTAACATTATTATTTAATCACGCTTGGAAATTTTCATAATCTGTCATATTTATCAACGTCATCTGATGAAATTTTAAATGAATCACCTTATTTATATTTTTTTCGGATAGATCTTTTTTTCTGAATCCATCAATGTAGGGTTTCAAGGTCTCTAAATTCATAATAGAAAGTCAACATTTATTTAATAAAAAATAATAATTTTCCCATAAAAAAGTTTGGTAAAATTTCAATTTCGCGTACCGTAGGATCACTTCGTGCGGGAAATCTACATTTTTTTATAAAACCCAATTTTTGGATCAGAATTCCGGAAAAATGAAGACGTAAAACGAAAATCGAAAATGAGGGATCGATAGGCAATTTCAAGACGAACATTTAAAAAAAATCACTTCAGACACTCCAACCCCATAAGGTATAGAGTAATTTGGGTGGCACAGTGGCACTTCGCGCCTCTGTGCGTCGGCCCCCAATATAACCAGTAACCTTTTTTTAATGATAAGATATTTAATAAATTATAGCGATATTGAAGGACCAAGATCGTCGATAGTTTTTAAAAAGTGTTCAAAATGTAGAGACCCCTTCTGCAAGCAACATACTGAATAAAAGATTTGTCTGCAATTCTTGCATCATAGCGTTTGAAATGTAAGAGAAAACATCACTGTCACTTTTTTACTAACATTCTAATTAGGTTTAGTTAGTTACAGGTTCTCTGATGAAGACCAAAGAAAAAAAATAGGCTGTGCTACGGCGAGAACATTGTCCTATTGAATTTTTAATTTGTTTGTTACTTTTTGTACTTAAATATTTCTTTTTAATAATAATAATAATAGTTATTCATTCTTTAAGGCATAAAAAATGTATAGGACAAGTCAGAGTTAAAATATTACAATCATTAAGCACAGTATGAGACAAAAAAGAGACAAAAGAAAATATTAACAAAAGGAACACCTTTTTTATTCATAGACGGGTGTCAGAAAAATTATCCATTACACTATAATAAACCTTTTCTAACAGTAACTGCTTGACAGATCTTTTTTGTTTAAACTCATGTTTTTAAAATGATTAGGAAAGTGGTTGTAGAGTTTTAGGCCCATATATTTAGAATTTTCAAACTTGGATGTTGCATGTTTAGGAATCACCAAGAGATTCGAATTTCTAGTTTGATAATTATGAAAAAAGGATTTTAAAATGTATATACATGGAAGAATTATTTTCTTTTAAATTATAGAAACCCGATCTTTGTTTGAAGCATTACCCCAGAGAATAACATTGTAGCTAGGATGACTGTATACTAGACTGTAGTATACATTTAATAACGCACTAGAAGGTACATTTCTTTAATATATGTAGCAATTTGCTAAAAAAATAAGGTTGTTTCTCCAAAATTGTTTCATTCACTTTTATTTTCTCCTTGTATTAGTTTTAAATCGGGGTCAACTGTGACTCCACACCCATTTATGTTAGAAAACAGGTATATACTAGTTAATTATTAAAATTACACATATTGCGATACCGGTAATCGAGGTAGATAACAATAAGGGCCATTTACACTGCTAGTTATTAAGAAATAAGCGCAGCTTAAAATATTGGTAATTTTTTTAACGACTAGAGGTGCAAATGAACTAGTGGCCTATATTTTGTTAATCCAATCTGAGTGGTGTATGCCTGATTTAACATACATTTTGAAAATTTCATCACTAAGGACTTCAATAATTGGTATTTTTCAAAATACTTTTGCACATTCTAGAGAGCCTAAATATTATAATATCTTTTAACATTTACACGTATTTCAATAACACCGTATATACTTAATCTAAAAAAATGTATTACATTTTGACCCAAGATATTTCTTCAAATTTGTTTGGCATCAACAAAATACAATATATTCAACAAATCAACTTTTATCAAGTCTTCGCTCAAATTAACACTACTTCCTTTTGGGTTCCTACCAACAGACGGCACCAAGCAAGTACGTAATTCTCCCAGTCCAGAAATGTCTTACCTTGACCTTAGACATGGTCTGTTCATCCGGTTCTTCTTGGGGATCGGCCCAGTCGACTATAATGTCGCATCCCCACACCTTGATCCGTCCCGTTCCTAATCTTCTTTTTGCTAGAGACGCCGCCTTATGTGATTCGTATTCCAGGAAGCAGAAGCCGCGGTTCTTCTTCTTGTCGTCGGGCGAGGAGTAGATGATCACCTCCATCAAACCAGCTGTGTAGAAAAATGACGGATTTTTTGTAGAAAAAAAACGAGAAAAGGGTCCCGATAGTTTGTTGTGTTTTGGATGAGCACCAAAGTCCACTACGCTAATTTTACAAAATAAGCATGGGAATGCAAGAGGAAAGCGTGGTGCGAATTTTTTTTGGAAGAGCACAATTTTTTATTGTGTACCTACCTACCCAAATGTTTACCATATTTTAAGTTAGGTTAGAATAAAACAATTTTTATTTTAATGTTAGTTGTTAGTATTATTAAAGATACAATTTTTAATTATAACTAAAAAAACTATATATTAAGAAAAACCAGCGTTCTTAATTGTTCAAGAAAATATAAAAAGAATCCAAGCAGTATCAGACATGTCAAATTGTAATAATAAAATTAGAATAAAAGTCCGAAAGACAAGTAATTTGATAGCATTCAAAAGTATATTATAGACTTTAAAGGGGAATAAAATATAATCAAATATTCAAAGTTTCATATTTTCTAAAAAAAATCATCAAATGTATTTAAATAATTTTTAACGTATGTGCCATTCATTATGTAAGTTCGACACAATTTTGTATAAAATTTGTCACAATTTTGTATAAAATTTGTCACAATTTTGTATAAATTTGTCACAATATGTATAGGTATTCATAATTTATTAAAGTATCTCATTAAAAATATGATCTAGCGAGAATTAATTGCTCTGAGATAGAAAATGATGTCTTTGAAACGACGATGTAAAAATTGCAATACCCTGTTTACTTGATCCAAAATTATATTATCAATACAGAGCATTCCAAAATTAGAGGTAAATATTTTAACGTTCTTCGTTCTTTTCTCAAAACACTCTCTTTTTAATAACGCTCCACTCCAAGCGCTGCAGTTGAAGTTCCGAGTCGAACTAGTGAACTAGTTCAGTTAAATCAGTCGAACTAATTCATTTAGTTCGCACAAAAGAACGGTTCATTTTAATAGTTCGTTCGCGAACTACCCATCTCTACTCGGCTCTCATGAAGATTCTGACATTCTGTCAACTGACTGTACGTCAATTCGATTTCGGACTGTCAAAACAAACCCTTGTTGTTATATGGTTTTCAACAATATTAGAGAGTTGAAGTGATGTTATGAACGTAAACGTATACGTGAAATTTGACATCTGCGCATGCGTATTAAAATATCCTATACATCTGCGTAAATACGTAAACTTACGGGCTCTGGCGTATAGACGTAACGCAAACAAAATAACCTCTTTTTAATTGGAAAAGAAGAAATCCCAATATCAATTGTCATGACACGTAAATGTCACAATGCGTTTAACAACTTCAACTCATATTTTGTACAGCAACATAAACATTATTTTTCTGCGTTCGCGTTTACGTTAACGTACTGAAAACACTTTAACTTTCTATTAATGATTACTTAATTAAAATAAGAAACAAACAGATTCGTTATTGGCTCGAGATAAGAGGCTAAACATATAAGCAAACTCGTTAAAACATTGATATTTTTTAGGTGAATTTATTAAAGTAAAAAACAGAGCTTGGGACAAAATACAGCAATTAGGAATGATAAAATGTACAACTTAGGTACTACGAATAAATTACCATACTCCCGTCTATTGATAAGATGAATTAAATTCTAAGGATGACAATCAGTAAGACAGAGAGTGTAGTTAACAAATAGCGTCAGTCTTCAATAAATAATAACTTCAAAAGCTTATAATAGCAATCTAGAACGGTTAGCATTTTTACATTTACTAGACAGACGGTAAGTCGAATTTAAAATCTAGTACTTTAAACTGTCAAATACATACGTTACTTCGCTTAAATTTAGCATGCATGGCGTTCTTTGAAGCAATATTCGTGGAAACGATCAATCTTATCGAAGAAAACCAAAAGTACCCATTTGTCGTAAAAAATGTTGAATTTTATAAGTATGGTCTCAAAAATAATAAAATGTAGAGGTTAAAACATTTTTAGTACTTTTTTACACCACTCCTGCCTAGTTGTGGCGTCTCATTTAGAAGGATAAAGTTTTTGGACTAGGTGTCACATTCAAAATATCAATTTTAAGAGAAATCCAAAATTTTAAGTATTTATTGACACAAATTTCGAAAATATCGTCAGAAAACAGTCTTCAGGGCGTTCTCTTCTAAGAAGAATTATGTGTTCCCTTAAAAGATAATTTTGGATGTTGTGGAAACTTTCTGCCTTATTTTCATCATTATAAGCTGTTAAAATATTTACCTATAATTTTGGAAAACCATGTAAGCTTCAATAAATGATCATGAATTATGAAGTTGTTTTAATAAAACATTAAAGAAAATTATTGAATAATATTGCTAAAAGAAAAAATATATTCAAATAGGTACTTAATATCTAAAATTGTATAAAGTTGGATCCATATGGGATTTTTTTTAAATACTATCTGCCTATTTAAAAAGTTAAAATAGCCCATATCAAAGTTGGCTACTGACGTTAAGTTTTCTGATAAATTGGTATTAAAAAATTCCGAATTTGACAGATAACTAATGCAGTCTCCAGCCAACTTTAATATAAGTTATTTTAAGTATTAAAAAAAGCAAAAATGAGTGCCTTATGTTTTTTCCAATCCTAATATTAAAAAAAAAAATCACATATGGATCCAACTTTAAGGAACACACTGTATGATGAAAAAATAAATAATAATAATAATAATAATAATAGGAATTTCGCACCAAGCCATCCGTACTTGCGCAAATAGCAGCGAACTTGGACCTTGCCGCCCTTCCGTGCTTGTAGCGGCCCTGCCCTACCCTTTGCTCAGGCGCAGACTATGGCATTCCAAAAAATAAAAAGATGGGGGTATTAATTAAACAAAAATAAAAAGGTGGTAGGTAGTTTGTGATTTGTTGCTCAACTTACGTGCATGTTTGGAAAATTCTTCCCAAAGATCGTCTCGATCCCGGTTCTTTGGAATATAGCCCACAAATAACCGGTGATTGTTATAAGATATGGTTACGCCAATCTTTTTGCCCTTCCGTATTTCATAATCATTCAGCTGCAAAGACAGTCGAAGGGTAGCCAATTATGCCATGGGCAACGGGGTGGGAGGGGCTAAGGAAAGGATTGAGCCCGGCAGCCGGCCGCCACTCTACTTCGACTCCTTCGCATATTTTTCGACCAGGACCAACTCGCAACATTTACAAATTGTAGCCCAGTCTCAAAAAATTTCCATAGTAACTTTTAAAATTATCAACATGACTAATATCAATTCACAGCTGTCTTAAAAAGAGAAACGTCAAGATTTAAATGAAAGTAACAGAGAGGTCGAACTGTCAACTGTCACTTGGACCTCCCATTTGATTCAAATCTCTTTTTAACACATTTTTAAAAACAATAAGTCTTCATGTACTTAAATTTAGACTAACCAATTAAAAATAATAACTAGATGTATCTATATCTAGATTAGATTAGGTAAGAAAATTATATATTATATTTTTGAGGTTATATGTGCCAAACACATTAAATATTTCTATTATTGCAAAATAAACTAACAAATTAAATTCAATAATCGTAAAAATGGATATTTTGTTTTTATATGATATGGACAATTTGATTTTCGACATTAATGATAGCAGAAAATTTCATATTGACACTACTAACAGCTGACGAATTAATTTTGACACTAATGCCAAATATCAGACAACTTTTGACAGATGGATTTCAACTATAGTGACTTTGACAGTAGTGATATATATCAGACGAATTTTAACACTAATGACATTTAATAAACAAATTTTGACACTAGGATGAACATCGAGACTATAAACTTTAGATATATCAATTTTTGCAGCTTGTGTTTACAATCATCTCAATTGACAAATGATTTTTAACCCTAGTATTAACAAATTTAAATTTTAATTACGGAAACACGAATTTTGACAGTCAGCAGAGTTACAAAAGAACTAGATATTTGTTGACGAAACAAATTCTACCCCTCGTGGTAATTGTTTTAAAATGCTATGGACAATTTATTCTTGACACTAATGCCAAATATCAGACGACTTTTGACACTAACAACATTTGACAGATAGATTTCGACTCGTAGTGACATTTCAAAGAGAAATATTGATAGTAGTGATAGATATCAGACGAATTTTAACACTAATGACCCATTGATGGTAATGATGTTCCGCAATTGATAAAAACGAAAGGAAATTCGGAGAAGGAGGAGGAGGGGGTGCTTACATTCTTTATGATGAGATAAACAGAATTTATGATGGAATTGGTTCTATTTATACAAAATACTAAAGCAGTACTGCATGGACCCGTCTTAATCTTGATTGATGGTAACGATGTTCCACAACTGATAAAACTAAAAGGAAATTTGGAGGAGGGGGTGCTTACATTCTTTATGATGAGACAAAGATGATGGAATCGGTTCTATTTATGGGTGCAGGACAAAAACATTGAGGTCTACAATAGAAAAGTTCCTTCTAGAATGCCAGATATGACCCCAAACTGTGTTGAATTATGGTAATTATGTTCCACAATTGATAAAAATAAAAGGACATTCAGAGGAGGGGGTGCTTACATTCTTTATGATGAGATAAAGATAATTCTTGATGGAATCGGTTCTATTTATGGGTGCAGGACAAAAACATTGAGGTCTAGAATAAAACAGTTCCTTCCACAAGGATTAAAATGATATGGACAATTTATTCTTGACACTAATGCCAAATATCAGACGACTTTTGACACTAACAACATTTGACAGATAGATTTCGACTCGTAGTGACATTTCAAAGAGAAATGTTGATAGTAGTGATAGATATCAGACGAATTTTAACACTAATAACATTTTTTTTGCTTTGGATATTGATCCTTTAGCCACACACAACATTTAAATATTTAATTACACTAATGACATTTAACAAACGAATTTTGACATTAGGATGAACACTGACAGTAGTGACTTTTGACATATCAATTTTTGCAGCTTGTGTTTACAGTCATCTCAATTGACGAATGATTTTAACACTAACCTAAATAAATTTTAATTATAGAAAAACAATTTTGACAGTCGACAGAGAAATAAAAGAATTGGATTTTGATGAAAAAAATTCTACCCCTCACGGCAATTTTGTTTTAAAATGACATGGACAATTTATTTTTGACACTAATGCCAAATATCAAAGACACTAGAGCAATATTTGACAGATTGATTTTGACTCTAGTGACATTTCAAAGAGAAATTTTAATAGTGATAGATATGACGAATGTTAACACTAATGACATTTAATAAACAAATATTGACATTAGGATGAACATTAACACTAGTAACGTTTGTCATTTCAATTTTTGCAGCTTGTGTTTACAATCATCTCAACTGACTGATGATTTTTAACACTAGTGTTAACCCAATTTTAATTACTGGAAAACAATTTTGACAGTCGACAGAGGAACAAAAGAACTGGATATTTGTTGATGAAACAAATTCTACCACTCATGGTAATTGTGTTTTAAAGATGATATGAACAATTTATTCTTGATACTAATGCCAAATATCAGTCGACTTTTGACACTAGTAACATTTGACTGATGGATTTCGAATCTAGTGACATTTCAAAGATGACTTTTGATAGTAGTATTAGGTATCAGACTGACATTTGACAAATTTTGACATCAATTTTTGCAGCTTGTGTTTACAGTAAAATTGACGGATGATTTTTAACACTATTTAGTTGACCCACATAAACTTTAATTACTGAAAAACGAATTTTGACGAAATTTTGATGAAACAAATTCTACCCCTCATGGTAATTTTGTTTTAAAATGACATGGACAATTCATACTTGACACTAAGACAAAAAATATCAGACGACTTTTGACTAATAACATTTGACTAGGATGTCGACTCTAGTGATATTTCAAAGATGAATTTTGATAGTAGTAATAGGTATCAAACGAAATTTGACACTATTGACATTTGACAAAAGGAATTTAAACATTAGGAAGATGAACATTGACACTAGTGACATTTGACACATTAATTTAGGCAGCTGGTGTTTACAGTAATCTCAATTGATGGATGATTTTTGACAATAGGGTTAACCGACGTGAATACCGAGATTGTAACAATGTTTTTTTTATATATATATAAACCAAACGGAGTAAAACTAATTTGGAGGAAGGGGGCAAACGATTGCGAGTTGCGTCCTGGTGAAAATTATCCGAAAGGATTGTTGCAGAATTTTTGTTTTTATCTATCAATCGATGAAACTTTACCTGTTAATTTACCAAATTCATCCAAGATCTCCTCTTTGCCTTTTGACTTTGGTATGTTCCCGACGAAAAGACGTAGATTTGGAACGCTAATGTTAATTTTCAGATTCTTTCCAGGTTTGATTTCATGATTATCCAACTGTGGGTTGAGAAACAATGCCAGAATTCAGGATTTCGATTTCATGTCTAATCTTAAATTTAGCTAGATTGGTTACTAAACATAATTTGGCAGTACCAAAAAATACAAATTTTGTCACAACCTTTAACAGATTGGCCGATATCAAAACGGTGCGTTATTGAAATTTGATTTTCGAAAATAAAAATACGAAATTTTCAATTAATACAGTAATTTTGAAAAAATAATCAAATTTCAACTCAAAAAAAAAAAATCAAAAATCAGTAAAACTACACGAATAACAATTTTAAAACAAAATTCATACCAATACAAAATAAAATACAGTATAATTTTGTAAAAAAAAATAGTTCGCTTTTTCAGTTGGATATAAAATTTAAAAATATACCGATTTCTACCAGGTCCAAACAATAATTTTATGCACAAAACCATCTAAAATGAAATTTCGAACAGCGAAAACGAAAATAAAAAAATTCAGAAGAGGCCAAAACACAAATTTTGATCGAAAAAAATTGGCAGATTTCGCATCACCCAGAGAACCAAACAGAATTAATTCCACACTACTTCCAATCTACGACTACCAAATGGAATTTAGAGTCAAACTTTTTGCGGTCTCAATTTTGCCCAATAGGTGCGCAAAGAGGAGACCTATAAAGCAGAAACTTTAAATTTCCAAAACTGTTTCCAGCCAAACACACAAATCTACTGCGTTGCCAATTTAGATATCTGCGATCGTGTTTAAGCAGAGATTTTCTTGAAGTTACTTTATTAAATCATAATTAATATAATTAAAAAGACATTTTTTTTATTTTCATCACAGATTGAAAAATGTTTCCAATTCCCCAAAATATCTTAATATTAAACAAATATATTTGCAATCATATTAATAAGATACAAAATACTATTGCAGTATCGCAGGGACTCATTGATGGTAATGATGTTCCGCAATTGATAAAAATAAAAGGAAATTCGGAGGAGGAGGAGGAGAAGGGGGTGCTTACATTCTTTATGATGAGATAAACAGAATTTATGATGGAATTGGTTCTATTTATACAAAATACTATTGCAGTATTGCATGGATCCGTCTTAATTTTGATTGATGGTAACGATGTTCCACAATTGATAAAAATAAAAGGTAATTTGGAGGAGGGGGGTGCTTACATTCTTTATGGTGAGACAAAGATAATTCATGATGGAATCGGTTCTATTTATGGGTGCAGGACAAAAACATTGAGGTCTACAATAGAAAAATTCCTTCCAGAATGCCAGATATGACCCCAAAATGTGTTGATTGATGGTAATTATGTTTTACAATTGATAAAAATAAAAGGACATTCGGAGAAGAGGGTGCTTACATTCTTTATGATGAGACAAAGAAAATTCTTGATGGAATCGGTTCTATTTATGGGTGCAGGACAAAAACATTGAGATCTAGAATAGAAAAGTTCCTTCCAGAATCCCAGATAAGATCCCAAACCGTCTTGATTGATGGTAATTATGTTCCACAATAGATAAAAATAAAAGGACATTTGGAGGAAGGGGTGCTTACATTGTTTATGATGAGACAAAGATAATCCATGAAGGAATCGGTTCTATTTATGGATGCAGGACAAAAACAATGAGGTCTACAATAGAAAAGTTCCTTCCAGAATTCCAGATATGACCCCAAACCGTGTTGATTGATGGTAATTATGTTCCACAATTGATAAAAATAAAAGGAAATTCGGAGGAGGGGGTGCTTAAAGTTCCTTCCAAAATGCTAGATATGACCCCAAACCGTATCGATTGATGGTAATTATGTTCCACAATTAATGAATATAAAAGGACATTCAAAGGAGGGGGTGCTTACATTCTTTATGATGAGACAAAGATCATTCTTGATGGAATCGGTTCTATTTATGAGTGCAGGACAAAAACATTGAGGTCTAGAATAGAAAAGGTTCTCCCAGAATGCCAGATATGGCCCCAAACCGTGTTGATTGATGGTAATGATGTTACACAATTGATAAAAATAAAAGGAAATCGGAGGAGGGGGTGCTTACATTCTTTATGATGAGACAAAGATAATTCATGATGAAAATCGGTTCTATTTATGGGTGCAGGACAAAACCATTGAGGTCTAGAATAGAAAAGTTCCTCCCGGAATTCCAGATATGGCCCCAAACCGTGTTAAGCGCATCTTATTATTGACCGTTCAATTCAGCTCATCTAAAATTTCTCCCTTGTCACATACTTCAGAATTTTTATATAAATAGATCATCACTGCAATAAAAAAATGTTTCGTGTTTTCAGGGGAAACTATGTCTTAATAGAGTAAACCAAGAGACCGTTACGAAACATTAACTTTTTCGTTTGGAAAATAATTCCAATCTGTGATTTCCCGACAGACTCGAAAGGTAAAACAGCTTCAAGAAAACCCAACAAAAAACAAAAACTGTTCAAAATCATTTAGCACAGGGGCGTGCCGGACAATGTTCATGTTTTTTTTTTTTTTTTTTTTTTTCGGTAATTTTCCTAACCACAAAATTGGGCTCTTGAGGAAAAAACTACAAGGGAAAGTAGAGAGTGAGAGAAGAGTTTCAGTGTATGCTCCGTGGTCAGAGCGGCTGCAACAAAAGTTGAAACTAAACAATTGCAGGCTGTGACAACAGTTGGCACACATCACTATAATAGAATCTGCCAATTAAACACAAATGAGACTGCGCCCTTGCCGAACAAACAGATAATTTGGCTCGAGAGCTGTATCAGTATATTCGGTTTGAACGAGTCTCTTTACAGTAGATCATTTCTAAAAATGCTTGAAATTAAATAGAAAATTCCCGGTGCATTTATTTAACCATATTTGATATAACAGGAAAACTAAGGAGTTGACAGGACGGTGTGGAGATAATTAGGTACTTCCAAGTATTCGAAAGCATCCACCAGATTTTTTTTAAGGACTATGGGATACAATTTCGGTAAGAATAACATTTTATGATACCATGATTAAATAAATCAACTTATATAAATTTCAGTTTCGTCTCGAATTCAGCTGGAAATGATCTACTGGAGTTAATAAAATTTCAGGTATGAAAATAGGTAAAGGGTGCTAATTTTATCAAAATTCCAAGCCAAATCGATTCGTAATTTTAAATGTGTATCAACTTTTTACCAATCACCGATCTGACTTAAACATTTTCCCAAATTTAGCAAACAAACGAATGTCAAAATAATTTTGATGTAAATAACTAGGCTACAAGCAATTTAAACTAATTTATTTTTTTTTTAATGGGGAAATTAAATTTGCTTTAAAAAAGTATAATTTTTTTTCCAACAAACCAGAGCATTAAAACTTGAAGATCTTTTGTTAGAAAGATTCGTAATGACAAAATACTGAAAACAAATAATTTCTATAGCCAAAGGGTAGAAAACACAAAATCTGTATTTCAGACACGTATTTCTGTGTGGGCGATCCAAATACGTTTTGCCAAAGTATTTTCATAGGTATTCGTAATAAAATAACTATCGTCAGTGAAATATATAGGACAAAACCGAGACTAATGCAATCAAGATATACAATAACGTTTGCTCTTTTATTACTATTTAATGGTTATAATCCAATAACCAGTTATAATTATTAAAAAAGTCGGGCAAGCCAGTTAGGTCCCTAGAAACTTTTTAGTTATTGATCTTGGAGCCATCACGACTGCGCCAATTACTAGACAACGTTGTCACATATAAAACTAGAAACATTTTAAAGTTTAAAACTCGGACTAAAATAATTTTTTATTCTCAAAATCTGCTGTAAAAATTAAATAAATATAAGAAGATATATCTATCAATTTGTTAGAAACATCGCTCATGAAATTACTCGACCTTTTAGTACTTACAATCTCATTAAATTTATCTTCAAATGAATTAACTTTAATATAAAAAACAAGCTCCAAAATTTTCCTTATTGTGGTAAGAAAATCCATGAAATCACTTTGCAAATTCAACGCGAACGAATCAACCACACAGAAAAAAAGAATGCTATACAGAGATACGAATAAACATCAAAACAAATTACTATTTAAACAAAAAAATAATAAAAAGATAATAATGCCAAAATGTACATCTGCTCGCATACTTACCTTTTGGACGGCTATTTGGGCAGCTTCTCGATTCGTAAACGTTACGAAAGCATACCCCCTATTGGTACCCGTCATCGGGTCCATCATTAATCTAAGGTCCCATATGGTGCCGCAATCTTCGAATAAAGGTATTAACTCGTCTTCATACATGTCTTTAGGAATTTTACCGCAAAATACCTCGCATCCTGAACCAGGCGGCGCACCTTCCCAACCTGGAGGAGGTCCTCCGTATTTTCTCTGACCTAAAACGGTAAACAAAAAGTTAAAAAAAAGGTAAACAAGTATTAGAAATTAAAAATTTTAAAAACTGACTTTAAAAACGTGCAGACGCCATCACCACATCTTAACCAAATTTTTATGGGACCACCTCTGAGGTACCCCTTACTAACAAAAAAGAATCATATAAATCGGACAAGGTGGTAAAGCATTATCGCTAAACATTCATAAAAAATGAAGAGTTTGAGGATTTTCTCATGGACATTATTAGATTTTGACCAAATTTATACGGGACCACCCCTGAAGTTCCCCCTTTCTAACAAAAAAAAAAAAGAATCATTGAAATCGGACACCGTGTTAAAGAATTATCGCTGAACATACATAAAAAAATAAAAAATAAAATAAAAGAAATATTGCGACGAATTGAGAACCTCTTGAAGTCTGTTAAAAATAATTTTTATAGTTTTTTAGTTTTTTGTTTTGTTTTTATAGTTTTTTTTTATAGTTTTTTATAGTTTTTTTTTATAGTTTTTTTTATAGTTTTTTTTATAGTTTTTTTTATAGTTTTTTTATAGTTTTTTTAATAGTTTTTTTTATATTTTTTTTATAGTGTTTTTTTAGTTTTTTTTTATAGTTTTTTTTATAGTTTTTTTTATAGTTTCGTATAGCCTTTTACAGCTCTTTATACCCTTTTATAGATTTTTTATAGATTTTACAGATTTTTATAGAAATAAAATAAAAAATTATCATTTTTGTGAAACAGAAATGTTTACAAGAAATTAAAGGTTATTCTAAAAGTTGCGAAAGTAACACTGGTTCAAGGTACAACCAGGGAGTTCTTTATATTTAGGATTTGACAGTTCTCCTTATTTGCCTGTATAGAATATTTTTGAAATCGTTTTTCCCACGGTTCGTAAACTACTACTATGACCTCTTCCCGTTGTTATGGTTGTGACGTCACATAATTAGAAAACGAGGTCACAGAAAGTGCGAGGCTGGGCTGAAAAATAATCGGCCTAGGCAAAAAAACAACTTTTTTTGGCAAAACTCAATTTATTTCTCAACATAGTCCCCTATAAACTCTATACATTTTTCCAACGATTCTCCAATTTTTCGATACCCTTCGAATAATACGATTTTTTGAAGTCCCTAAAATAGGCCTCTGTCGCAGCGATGACCTCCCAATTCGACTCAAATCTCTTACCACCGAGCGATTTTTTCAAGTCTGGAAACAGATAATAGTCGCTGGGCGCCAAATCTGGGGAGTATGGCGGATGAGGAACCAATTCGTAACGCAATTCATATAGTTTTGCCATTGCGACTGCACATTTGTGCGCCGATGCGTTGTCCTGGTGGAAGAGCACTTTCTTCTTCGCTAAATGCGGTCGTTTTTGCTTCAAATCGTCGAGTCGGTCCAACAGCTTTGAGTAACAATCGCCGGTGATGGTTTTGCCCTTTTCAAGGTAATCGATATGAGTAATACCATGCGCATCCCAAAAAACTGTGGCCATGACCTTGTTGGCAGACAGATCCACCTTGGCTTTCTTTGGCTTTGACTCGCCCTGAGAAACCCACTGCTTTGACTGTTCCTTCGTCTCTGGCGTATTGTGATGAATCCATGTTTTCTTCTTCTTATTGTGGTTAAACATTGCCAAACACTCCTTTGAAGTTGTCACACGGTTTCGCTTGTTGTCAGCATTGAGCAAACGCGGTACCCATCTGGTAGCGAGCTTCGTCTTTCCCAAATATTCGTGCAATATATTCTCCAATAGTTCACGTGAGATGCCCACCGCCTCAGCAATCTCACACACACTTACCCGTCGATCGTCAATTACCATACCATGGATTTTATCGACCACTTCTGGTGTGGTGACCTCTCTTGGACGCTCATCATCAAAAATTATCGTACGACCGCGTTTAAATTCGGCAGTCCAATATTTTATTGTTGATAACGAAGGTGCAGAGTCCCTATACACATCATCCAGTTCGATTTTGATCTCATCGTTCGGTTTCTTTTTTAAAAACAAGAATCTAATCACTGCGCGATATTCGATTTTATTCATTTTTGTAAAAATGCAAAATCTGTTTGCCTTCAATCACTGTCAAGTACAAATTTAGTGACGCAGCTCGCCTAAAATTTGACAGAAGTCACTTGAAAGATAGTTTTTACGAAAAACAATTGCATTTGTTCCTAGCGCCGCCAACTCTTGCCGAGGCCGATTATTTCTCAGCCCAGCCTCGTATTCTGCTGAAGTTCGTATATTAGTTTTTAAAAATCTAATATTTTATTATTTAGTGGTGTTTTATATTTATAATTTTGGACTATTTTGCAGTGTTGGAATTTTTATAATATCGGTAGTGATTTTCTTAAAGATACGATACAAAACAGCAAGGAAAAATTATGGAATAATTTTGCAATGTTGGAATTTTTATAATATCGATAGTGATTTTCTTAAAGATAAGATACAAAACAGCAAGGAAAAATTATGGAATAATTTTAATAAAATTTTAAATGAATTGTTTTATTTGAATTATAGAGAATATTCGAATAGTGAATAATTTGGGTATTCGAATAAAGTTTCAAACGAATATTCGAATACAAAAATCTGAAAAATTCCGAGCCCTAATCAAAACATTCAAAACGTTTTTAATTACATCATAAAACGATATTTTACTTTGTCAAAAATTAAAGGTGCATTTTAACACCCCTTTAAAAATAATTTTTAAAAATATTAGGTTAGTGAATAAAAAAATATTTTAACGGCTGTTAAAATATAAAGGAAGCGCTACAGAATAGACCGCTTACCCAGCTTTAAATAGAATTTCTGTTGGCGAATTTTTTCAAAAATATTTTTAAATCTTCTTTATGTATGTGTAATGGATTTACCTACTTTCATTATTAAGTAAAACGCACCGGGCTTTTTCTCTTCTGTCAACTCGATTTGCGTTACACAGCACCTTTGATAAATCAATTATTAAGTCATTCATATTCTACCCAAAGCTGAGTTAAATCAACTTACAAACACATGAATATTAAATAGAAAAAAACACAAATACATATTGAAAATGCTTAAGTTCTTCTTTTAAATGTTGATTTACGGATAAAGGCATAACGTCTATCAAAACTGATAACTGACGCCAGGTCGTCGACCTATATAGCTCGCCTCAACCTTCTAGAACCTTCTCGAACAATCCAGATTTTTCTTTGACAAGGAATGACATTTCGAGACATTTCTGGACTATTCTATCTTCTTCATTTACTCGTATCTTTACTTATGACGACCGCAGCACGCTGCAGGGTGCTGCGTAACAATACGATAATATGAACCAAATCATGAAGATAGTTACAATTAGGGTTGCCAACCATACTTTATAATAACTTATCCTACTTTATTTTCGATAATTATACTTTTGCATAAAAGTAAAGAATGCGAAAATACTTTATAACTATTTATGGATACATAAAAGTTAAAACAAAATGTTCTAATGTTACTATAGACGAAATTGTTTTTGTTTATAATTGAAAAACCCATTTTAAAGTAAATATTCTCTGTTTACACCACTTCAGCTTTCATTGAGATAGTTATTCGGTAATAAATCTGAAGTAACAAAAAATAGAGAAACAGAGCGTTGATGAATTTAAACTAAAGTTTCGATTGTAAAACAAGCTTTGAAACTTTCAAAGATAGCAAAACAATTGTTAGCATATGCTAAAAGCACACAAAAATATTAACACAATAGAACCTAAATATGAAAAATACTTTTTTTTTTGTTAAAAAATTTGGCAACTCTAGTTAAAATGAATGATGCGAATGCTCTTCATGGGGCCGTATTCTTGATTCTTGTAACTATGATACAAGTAGGATAGTAGGCGAGTACTCTCACTATTTGGCCGGAATCATATAAATGATGAGAGCAGCGTTGCCACACGTACGAAAATTATCGTATTTGTACGATATAGGTACGTTAAAGTTAAAAATTGCCCAGTTTTTCGGAATTATTATTTTCCAACTTACCAGCTAGACTGAATTTCTATTGCATAAACACGTTTAATACTTGTTTTAGTAATATTACATACGTATAATTGAAAATATTTTTAATTACAGGGTGATTCACAAATGTGTGACGGTAGTTTTTTTGCAAAATCTCACTACTTCTACTGTGAAGCATATTTTCAAAACAAAAAGTACTACTCAATGGTATATTGCACAGTAAACATTTCGTATACAGAGTGTTTTGTAGTGGGAACCACCTAATTCAAAACCCTGTACTTATTGATTTTTGGGAAAGGTAATACCACTAAAGTATATGTACCTCTAAGCTTCAAAATATACAAGACGGCTTATTTGTTGGAAGATACTTTATTTTAATAAAAGTACAAAAACACCACGAATACCTTGTATTCTAAAATGTAACTATTTTCTCACTATATGATAATTTTCTTGACCAATAATAAGTCATATAAAGATTTACGAAATTTTACATTCAAAACAGAATCAAAATTGCATTGTTTACTTATATGCTGATGAGACTCAGCTGTACTAGTTTTGATCCCCATCCCCATCCCCATTAATAATAATTTAAAACATTTATTGATTGTATAACTGAGCACAGTCTTCTTATTAGCACAGTAAAATCAATGTTATTCAGTAGTAAATATCATGAACAAAATGTAATCAATTCAATAAATGTTGAAATAAATAAAGAAAAACTAGAACTGGCAAATAAAGCAAAAAATTGGGGAGTAATAATCGATTCTGATTTAAAATTTGAGAGACATATAAATAAGTTAATAAATACAACGTGCTTGTTGTAATATTAAAATGATTTATGGAAACCGTCATTTGTTTCCTATTTTGGTAAAGGAACGACTTTGTGAAACATTAGTTGTATCTATATTCAATTACGCGGATGCGGTTTACGGTCCCAACTTAACTGTAAGAATAAAATCCAAAAAGTTCAGAATGCTTGTCTGCGTAAGATATTTGGTATAAGGCGTTGTATAATATCTCACAAATTGAGACCA